ATTAGGAGAGAGAGAGAGATTAGGAGAGAGAGAGATTAGGAGAGAGAGAGAGATTAGGAGAGAGAGAGATGGAGAGAGATTAGGAGAGAGAGAGATGGAGAGAGATTAAGAGAGAGAGAGAGAGAGATGGAGAGAGATTAAGAGAGAGAGAGAGAGAGAGGGAGAGAGAGAGATTTGATTAATTGTTCTAAAAAAGCAAAAAGATTAAATTTTTTTATATGCCCAATTAGTTTCTCAATTAGGGTTTCATGGTGGGATCACTCCAAATCATGAAAGATTCACAATTAGATTGAAAAAAAAGATACCCAATTGGTGGATTTTCAAATGATTTAACTTAGCTTCAAAGTCGGAGGTTTCATTCCTGAGATCTCACATCGATCAGATAAACAAATTAAACATTTCAGTGTGGAAACCTCTCTTTAATAGACGCGTTTTAAAACTATGAGGCTAAAAAGATCCCACATCGATTGAAAAGAGAAACGAAACATTCCATATAAAGGGTACGGAAACCTCTCCCTAATAGACGCGTTTTAAAACTGTGAGACTGAAATCAATACGTAACAGGCTAAAACGGATAATATATACTAGCGGTGAACTTAAACTGTTACAAATCCCTTATCACACTACGAAGAACGTATGTCAAAAAAATTAATAACAAAGTCTAACTGCAATGACGATGACGACCTTCACACACGAATATAGGATGAATCTCACAAACCTAAATCATGTTTAGATGAAAAATAAAATTATAACTTTTAGTTTCATAATTACTTTAATCGAGAGATTAAGTTATAATTTTATTTTTAATTAATATGGATAAGATCATTACAAAAAGTTCCCTCTTAATCACTTTTTAACTAAGTGATTAAGTTTAAACAAAGGAAATAAAAGCATTATTCCTTTAGAAATTACAAAAAACAACTTTTTTTTAACTAAATAAATATTATTTATTTAAGAAAAAAAAATCATAAAACCACAAGTAAATGATGAAAAAAATTAAATTATACAAAAATAAAATTAAATATATTTTTTTCTAGAAAAAAAAAAGGAAAAAAAAAAAGGTGGGGTTTGTTTGTCGTGTAGCTGTCTTTTAGACCCATTACAAAATGTCACTTTAAAATTGTGGCAGGCAGATGCTTTGGTTCCTTCCTCAATTAATTTCACTCATAAATAAAACACATACACATACAAAAAGTAAATAATAATTGCACCCAAATATTATCCATCTTTTTCTTTTTATAAAAAATAATTAAAATTCCAGTTGCCTCTAATTCTTTAATTATTTTATTTTATTAATACATCTCATAATTCCTATTTTTTCGAGAAAGAATGAAGAGAAACCCTAATTCGAGAGGACGTTGGCATGTAGCTGCCTCTGCATAAGACCTCGGGATGACCCAATTGAGAGGGTCTCGAGCCGACAATAAAGTATGTATGAACGAAAATAGTATAGAATTGTTACGTTATACGTCAAACTCAATCTGTATTTACACACGACACGACACGACTCTATTATGTGGACGATGGAAGAAAAGGACCATTTCTCTTCATCCTCCTCCACTATCACCACCACCACGAACACCATGGGTTCGACACGAGTGGCCCCGCTATGGCCTTCCCTTGCTTCCTAGATGGATAAAGGTACTTTAATTTTATATATATATATATATATATATATATATATATATATATATGTAAAGAGAGAGAGAGTGGATGTCAGCATCTATATGTGTTAGTTTTGATTGATCACGTAATGCATGGGATGCATGGGATGATGCACCCAAAAGAAAAGGCTTCAAAAGAGCACTGCCAGTGCGGTCCTTCTTTTATGTTGTCTTTGACCCAGTCTCACTCGTTCCATAGATCGTTGTCGTCGGTTTTGCACCGTTAGATATGTGAAGATAAAATTTACGTGCAGATTTTGAAATCAACATCCGACGGTTATTTACGATACAGCCACGTCGAATTGTTTTTCCACTGATAGAGACACTACTTATCACTTCATTCTTGCTGGTTTGGTCGACTTGTTCATGAGTGTTTTGATTTAATTCCACTTGTTCTTAAACCTTATTGTGGTCAAGAACACGACAAGTACTGCAATAAGCCAAACTAAGAACTTATGGTTTGGTCGACTGTTAGTTTATACTTTTTCGATACACGTTTCTAATCTGTGCAGCTCAAAATCATACTCGTATTAATATGATCGTGCACATACCCGGAGCACGAGTTTTACTTTTTGTATTAGTGCTACGTGAGCCTTTCTATAATCTAGATAGAGTTGTTGGCTATTGGGCCGTTCTTTTATGGCCCATTTATTTCTGACTTGATCCGTTTTCTACTGGGCTCTGGCCCAATATTCGAGTTCATAGTTTTGGGTCGGTTCTTATGGCCCATTTATTTTGGACTTGATCCATTTTCTACTGGTCTCCGGCCCAATATCTGAGTTAATAGCTTTGGACCAAACATAACCTAATCCAACCAGCGTCCAGAGTTCAAATCTCTGTAATTTCTTTTTGTTTATATTTATATTAAATTTTTAATAATGTGTTGGTTAGCTTCATATTAATATTTGAAGCTTGAAACAGAACCACCATGGTGGGTCCAATATCACTATGTTTTGCCTTCTAAATATCGGTCGAGTTGTGATGAGTGTTCGGGTTCAAATAAATGAACCTAAACCAACCCAAAAAGCTAATCCAACTCAACCCAACCCTTATAGTTCGAATTGGGTTGGTCCAAGTTGCCGAGTTGAATGTACACCGAAAGTTCTAGGTCTCAGCTGCCATCCAAAATTTTAATGGATTTCAACAGTAGTGAACTTTTACGAACCATCAAACGTAGTATTGTAAATTTTAAAAGAATAAAAATATTTTTAAGACAGTAAGCAAAGTTAAAAGACATATTTGTAATTATAGCCATATCAATAATAATTTTTAAACAAAAAAATAAATAAAAAATAATTAAAGAAAGTTACTTCTATGCTAAATACAAAATTTACATCAAATATTTTATCCACTATGTTCAAGTAACACTTATGGATATAGACTAAAGAAAAAAAAATGTTTTTTTTTCTTTTTAGAAAGTCGAGCATAGTGGATAAGACACCAATTATCAATACCTGTGATTCAATCTCCGCCCTGAAAAAAAAAACGTGAAAGGAAGATTTTGATTTACTAACTTACAATTAAGCTTTTAAGATAAGTTTAGGACCTATGTAATGAAGCATTATTAAATCTATGCCCTGAAGGAGAAGAAGCTAGAGGAAGAACCTGTGAAGAACTTGAAGAACACTGTGACATTTGATGATATTGAGGCTTTTTCTCATTTGTACACCAAAACCGATTGTTGTCGTTATCGTCGTCGTCGTCTACAACTATCATTTTGGGATTGGAAAGGGCTTTAGTTTCAGAATCCTGAGCTGACCCACCATTTTTACAAGCCTTATGCAGAGCTTCTTCAGTTAATCTTCTGTACAGTTTCTCTTCTGCCTCCCTTAGGAACCTAAATTTTGAAGGAGATGAAGGTAAACCCATGTTCAAATCTAATTCTGCTGATGATTCAAAGAGAGTCACAGTGTTTATATTGAATTCAGGGTGTTTGAAAGAACTGAAAGGGTTTAATGGACATGGTGCTTTCAATGGAGGAGAAGGCAAAGGGGACACAAAATGAGACATATCACTTAAGCTTCTTGCTCTCGATCCCTTCCTACTTCTATCTTCGGACTCTAAATCTTCTTTGGTTTCCTCTTTAATGGAACAAAGAAAGCTCGGTGGCCCTAAAAGATTATACAGCCTCGCCGGATCTAACGCCCCCGCCGCCCCATCTCCTCCACCTGACTTCAACAACAACAAATCCTTGTTGCAGCCATTTTCAATCTCAGATTCTTGATTTCTCAGCTCTGAATTCAACTGATTTCCTCTGGAATCGTTGAATTGCAGAGGAGAAGAAAAAGAAGGAGAAGAAGAAGAACTCCTTTTCCAATTCAAACAAATATGGCGAAAGAATTTCTTTACATATTTGGTGAATTTATCTTCATCTTCTAAAGTGAATCTTCTTTTCTTCCACCAAAGAAAATAGAAAAGCTCTGCAAAGAGAGCAAACAGAAGGAATCCAAAAACAAAGCTCAACACAATTCCCAAACCTTTGAATGAATCCATTTTCCCCAAAATTGAGAACAATCTCACATCTCCACCATTACGTATAAAAAAAAAACCTCAAATCTCGAACTCCTCAAACTTTTTCTCGATCATTTAAACACTCAACAGATGAAATAGGAAATCCACAATCTAAAACCCCAAAAACAGGACCAGAAAATGTTAAAAACCCTAAATCCAGCACTGTAACTAGCTATAAAGCAGAAAAAAAAGCGTAAAAGAACCAGCAAGAACGGATAATTACAGCAAAACAATCACTTCGTAATCTGTAATGGAACAACGAGTAAACTAATTCCAGCAAGCTCATCCATAGAGAATAACGCGTAGGGAAAAGGGAAGTTACCTTTAAAAAAGCCAAAAGAACGGTGGAGCGGCAAGAATCAACAGATTCGAACGAAGAACCAAATCATATTTTAATATGAGAAACCATCCAACAGATGAACACGAACGAAAGCCACAGAGATTCAACTAAGAAACGGAAGGAAATAAAATCTAAGAAGCAATTTTATATATGAATTGAGCGCGGTTCGTCTTTTGGGGGAATTTTGGAACAAAATGGATGCACCTCACACGTGTGGGTTTGGTCCAAGCGTGTGGATTTTAGTTCAATAAAGTTTTTATTTTTTAATTATAAAATTATTTTTTAAAAGGGCAGAGTTGTTGGGCCAAATACTTAAAATGGGCCAGAAAAGAAAGTAAAAGCCCATGGCCCATATTCTACTTACATGTACGGCCTTGAAAAGGGCAAAGATGGAAAAAATGAAAATAAGCGCCGTCACCGCTAGTAAGCGCCGTCGGGATCTTTAACCTACTCCACAATAACTCCGTCGAAGCTAAGCGGTCTGATTAACGGACACCGTTATCGCTGTTCTCCTCTAACTCTGTCACTTCTCTCCTTCTCGGCTCCGGAGGGCTTTGGATTGGATTTGGGGGAGGATGAGCGCTGTCTTTGCGGTGTGTAAAAGAGGGCTGTAATTCTGAGAATTTGGATATCCATCTCCGAATTTGAATCGCTTTTGATATCTCTAATTTCTCGAACTCGATACTTATTGTAAGTTTTTTTGTTTCGTGTTCTTGTTCTATATTCATCGGAATTATTGATTCTATTTTGCCTCTGTTGTTGGGATTCTGCTGTCTGCAAGTTTATTGTTCATATCCGTCTAGGTTTTCGTTTTGTTTTCGTCTATATTCATCGGAAAATTTCAGAGGAGAAATTTTCAATTTCGATTGTTGATGTTGTGGTGTAATTTGGTGGTGAAAAGTGTTGATTGTAGTTGCGTTTGATTTTGTCTGGGAATCTGGATTTGTATGGATGTGTTATGAGGTGAGAGTTTAGAATTTGGAGGAGGCTGGGAGATAGTTTGTTCTTGCTGAAACTTAGGATTCTTTGAGGGTTAAGCGCTGAGAGAACATGGGAGAAGATTTGCTAACAAGTTTATCCATGGAAAATCACCATCCATCTACCTTATTGTCGATGGATTCAAGTTCTATGTCTCATGAAGAACTCAAGCGAGAGTTTAAACGGCCAATTGTTCTTTCCCGACCACCGGACATTAATCTTCCTCTTTCAGCTGAGCGCAGCCCTCCTCCACAATCCTGGAAATCAGAGCCTTTTGATATGTTGGATGTTAGTCTAGGAACTCAGATGAATGAAACGGATGCTCTTCTTATCCTGCCCAAAACTGGACGCAAGTTTTCCAAGAGATTAGATAGTGTGTGGGGTGCTTGGTTTTTCTTTAGTTATTATTTCAAGCCCGTGTTGAACGAGAAATCGAAGAGCAAAATCGTGCATGACGGTAATGGAGTTTCTGGATTTGACAAGTCTGATCTAGAGCTTGATGTGTTCATGGTTCAACATGATATGGAGAATATGTATATGTGGGTTTTTAAGGAAAGGCCAGAGAATGCATTGGGTAAAATGCAGCTTAGGAGCTATATGAATGGGCATTCTCGTCAAGGCGAACGCCCTTTCCCTTACTGTGTCGATAGGGGGTTTGTTCGGTCTCATAGGATGCAACGAAAGCATTACAGGGGCCTGTCGAATCCTCAATGTGTGCATGGCATTAAGTTCGTTCCATTGCCGAATCTTAAAGGTCTTGACGACGAGCAGCAGAAAAGATGGATGGAACTTACAGGGAGGGATCTTAACTTCTCTGTCCCGCCAGAAGCAAGCGAGTTTTGTTCATGGAGGAACCTTCCCAGCACCGAATTTGAGCTGGAAAGACCCCTTCCTCCATTGAAGACCAACTCCCATGCTCCTCCTCCGAGAAAATTGTTAAATGGGACTAGTTTTAACCTGTCAACTCAACCAACGAGCCATGTAAATGGTGGAGGAATGGATCTGTCGCCAAAAGGAAACAAGCGGAAGAAGGATGCATTTCTACATGGTAATGATGAGGATTATTGTTTGCTCATTAACCAGCCTAATGAGAGAGTTCAAGATACAGAAATCCATCCTGTCGAGCCTCCGTGGTTAAACGATTTCAGTGGGGTAATGAGGAACGTATACGGTCCGGTTACAGCTGCGAAAACTATCTACGAGGACGAGCAAGCGTATTTGATAATCGTTAGCTTGCCTTTAGCCGATCTAAAACGGGTTAAAGTGACTTGGTGGAACAACCTAACTCATGGGGTTGTAAAGATAACATCAGTGAGCAGTGGCTGCATGCCCTTTCTGAAAAGAAACGACAGAACATTCAAGCTCACCGATCCATCGCCCGAACACTGCCCTCCCGGAGAGTTCATAAGGGAAATTCCATTGCCAACCAGGATTCCAGACGATGCAAAGCTAGAAGCTTATGGAGATGAGTCGGGTACCGGTCTAGAGATAATGGTGCCTAAACATCGCGTTGGTCCAGAAGAACATGAAGTTCCTGTTTGCCTTCGCCCTCATCTCGGAGCAAACGAGCTCGTGTTATCTTAAAGGGTACTGTTGATTGTCATTTTCCAGTGGTGTAGCAAACAAAACAGATGATTTTTGTGAAATTTAAAGGGAAAATATGTTTTAATCCGTTTTCCTTTGATTTAAATACCAAACATTATGATCTCCTTCAGAATAGAAAACAGTTCCTGCTGATAAATGTTTGTGCTCTCTGCATCTTCAACTGATAACACTAAGCTTAACTGCAAGATTGAATCTTTGTTTATACAATCAGATTCTAAATGCATTGATTTGGCTCAACTGCTACCTGATGATTGTGTTTTCCTTTCTTTGCAATGGAAGTGCTATCGTTCTTGTTTCGTGTTACTACGAAGGTTTCTACCATTTTTTGAGCTCATAAGCTCGAGATCTCATATCGATTAGAGAGAAAACGAAACATTCCTTATAAGGATGTAAAAATCTCTCTCTAACAACGTTTTAAAAATTATGAGGCTCACAGGTAACAAACCAAAACGAACAATCTGCTAGCGGTAATTTGAGTTGTTACAAATGGTATCAGAGCCAAACACTAGGTGATGTACCAATGTTGGACCCCAAAGGATAAATTGTGAAATTTCACATCGATGGCATGCTAGACGCGTTTTAAAAATTGTGAGGCTAACGGTGATACGTATCAAACCAAAGCGAACAATCTACTAGCGATAATTTGAATTGTTACAAATGGTACCAAAGTCAAACACTAGGTGATATACCAACGAAGACGTTAAATCCCAAAAGGTAAATTGTGAAATTTCACAACGATTTGAGAGGCATGCCAACGAAGACATTAGACCCAAGGGATGAGTTATGAAATCCCTACTAATATTTCTTATAAGGACGTGGAAACCTATCATGCCATAGCATATATCACCTCATCAACATAACATAAATTTTTTAGTAGAAGCATAAAAAATATCCCCATGGAACGTTCGAATTTAAGGTTGCTTTTACATGATTATATATATTTAAAACAATTAAATAATTCATGAATTTTCTAATAAAGAAAACAATTAAAACTTTAATATTAAATAAAAGAAAGTGGAATAAAAATATAACATATTAGATTATAAATTCGATTTTTTTTATTGAATTAAAATATAATGTATTATAAATAATATAATATTATAGAACAATAATTATACGTGTTTTTTTAACATGAAAAAATCCATTAAACTAATTAAGAATATTTAAAAAATGAAATAAACAGAGCTAGAAATAACAGATTTATTCATATTTGTTATTCGGTTGAAGAAGAAGAAGAAGAAGAAGAAGAGTGCGTAATTCAGTTCTGTTTTGGTTGATTCACATGGCTACCTATCCGCACCACCATTCCATCAATGTCCCGTACATATCCTACTCTCTGCTTCCACTCTTTCGCCTCCGGCTGGCTCACCGCCGCCGCACCATTCTCCACCGCCCTCTGATAACCACGAAAAATCCGAACAACTTTCTCTCAAATCGGTAAATTCTGGCATCGAATCAATCAATTGAGATACAGGAATCAAAATGTGGCTCCAATTTTACCTGATAGGCCGCATCCACATCGGGATAATCGATACAGATCTCGATAGGGTTTCGTTCGCGATTGGAGGATGGGATTTGGACTTCGCCGGTGAGATCCTCTGTTTCGTGTTGGTGCAGAGGTGTGAATGCGATGGTAGTTCCTCCGCTCTCGAGCTCTCCCCACCTGTATCGAAAACGAAGCGATCTTTCGTGATTTGTTATGGATTTTATCGATTGTTGCAGTGATGATTTAGGGTTTTGATTACCTGTTGGAATGATCGAGGCGGCGGACGGTGAAACCGAAGGCTTTGGAGTAGAAATCGACTGATTTCGCGACGTCCTTGACGTAGATAATCGTGTATGCGAAGGTTGGCTTGAGATTGGACGACATTGTTAATGGATTGAGAGAGCACTGAACTGTGGAGCATGGTGAAGATGATGAAGATGATTATGAACGCGAAGCTAATTTGTTTCAGGGGACGATGGGCACACGTGGACACCAACGTGGATTGGGAACGTGTACACGTGGAACTCTTGCATGTTGCTGATCGATCGAATGGTGCCACGTGGTATAGTATATTTAATATAGCTAAATTAATAAAAATCTAGTTGAAGTTTATATTGTTTCAAAGTTTTAACTTAAAAAAAAAAAAATACTTACATTTTTTTTTCGTATATTTTTTTATAAAAAAAACTATTGATTTTTTAAAATAGTTTAAAAAATAAATTTTAACTTGTTTAAAAAATATCTCAAAATTTTAGTGATACTCAATTTTAAAATTAATATTAAAAAGATTATAAATATCATAATAAATATTTTTTAGAAGGTTAATGCTATTTTAAAGTTTCAAATGTATTTATTAATCATATTATTGATCGTAAAAATATTTTTAATTTTTTTAAAAAAATTTAAAGATATTAATTAAATTGTTTAAAATTTAACAATATTTTAAATATTATTATTATTATTTATTTATTTTTGTCGAGCCAGTCTAACGAACCCAAAAAAGTAGGAAAATAAGGCGCCTAAAGGTCACGTGTACGCATTTCCAGCTTCCCGCGTGTTCATCGTCCTCGTAGCTCACTCTCTCCTCTCTTTGATCGTCATTTCTCTCTCTGGTTTTCCAAATCTCCTCTCTGGAGAAATGCCGTCCTCCGCTCAGAAATCACGCCAACATTTCGCTGGTACTCGTTTTCCTTTTTCCTTTTTCCTTAATTCGTTGTTTTTAATTGTGAACATTGAATTATCTGGATGCTTACTTGACTTAACGAACAATGATGATCTTGTTGTCGATCAAACTCCGTCTTGCAAATGTTAACGTGAGAGTTTGTATCGTTCGTTGTGCGTATGTTTCCGGTTTGTTCGAGTGCGGAAATAGGTTTCTAGGGGAAGTTTTGTAAACAATTGCCAGGGTCTTTGTAGTCCGTTTTTTTTGGGGATCGTCATCGATTTAGTTTTTCTTTTTACATTTTTGTCGTTCTGTCAGTGTAAATGCATTTGATCGTCTTTCTCTTCGAGTCAGATGTGCGTGTGGTAATTTGATTTCGATTTTGCAGGTTGACAAATTTTCGGCGATGTTCATTTCTGAAGTCTGTACTGTTATAGTCCTTTCACAGATTCTCTACGGATGATACATGGGGATTTTTTTTAATGGCGGTTCTTCCTTATTTGTGGAGGATCCCATAGTTTGTAGCAATTTCAGCAAAAAGGATAGCAGATCATTTTGCATCTTCAAACAGTTCTCTTAAGTGAAGAACTGCTTGCAAATTAATAATAATTTTTCGATGGAAGACACGTTACCTAGTTCAGGATCAGGCATGATATCTGAAGTTGATGTTGGTGGTGGAAGTAGAAAATTTAGAAGGTGCTTTATTGGTGTTTCTCACTCAAAAGCATTTTCGAGGAATGCTATTCGGAGTGTAACTTCACTTAGACAGAGCAGAATTGCCAATGGTGCTGCTGGTCAGGTGACATTTTTCTTGCTGAAAATTATTGCGCTAGAGATGGTTCGAAGGTTCTCAAAGTCTAGGTGTCCTTTTGCTTGGCGAGGACTTCAAGCTCTTCAGGTTCTTTGCTACCCGCCATTTAAGTGGATTCAGAGATGGGCTCCTTTCAGCTGTTTAGTCAAAGGCATGCAGGTCTGTGCTGTTAACTTCTTGATTTATTATGACCATCATTTCGTAATTTTGATGCACAAGCCTAGCTACTACTTGTTGAAATGTTCACTGGTCTGTTTTGTGAGAACAAACGAAGTTAACTTGTGCCTTGAGGAAGCAGCCTCAGTAAGCAATAAGCATTCCTATATCTTCAAGTTCTCTGCTTATTCTGGTCCTCACATCATTTTTTGTGTTTACTTGTATGTGCAATGTGTGTATTAGGCATGTTCTCTTTTATGTCTTGATAATGGTCATAACCTGCTCCTTGGAAGTTAATTCTGTAGACCCTTTTCTCCATTGGACATGATAATGAGGAGTACTTACCACAATTGGTTCGTTTCAAATAATGGTTCAAACGTAGAACTGGATGCTATGCTAATTCATGAAATATGAACTAGAATCTAGTTTCTCCTTCCTAACACAAAACTTCACTTCCTTGCTAATATTACTCCTGCAAGCATGTGCATGATCTACATCCTCCAGTTGCTTTTGTTAAGATGGCAAGAAGTGCAGATGTAGTCACCTGAACTTTGGATTACGGATGAATGATTCCTGTTCTTACCGTCTTAAACTCTTAATATATACCATTTCTTCAACAGATTTTATATTATCTTTATTTTTCCAGGTGTTGTCAAAGCCATTACTTGTACTATCAATAGCGACATCGCTCTCTGATCGGACAGAGCCTATGGGTGGAGACTCAGATGACATCAGTGATTCCCCTTCATATTCTGAAATGTACTCAGAACTATCCTCAGTAAACTCGTCTACAAATGCAAGGTACTGTAATGAGATGGCACCAGGGTACTCAGAATTATTCATGCACTATTTTTTTTGCTCTTGATCTTTGATATCATTCTATTACCGTTTTTTTATTTATTGAAATGCCTCATTATGTATGTAGGGTACTTAATAGTATGGTTTTACCGTATATTTTTATTAAATAATGTATATAATTTCTTTTTAAGGTTAAAATACCATTTTTGTCCCTGTACTCTGGTTCTCATTCATTGTCTCTATACTTTTAAATGTCTAAACTTAGTCATTGTATATTTGATCGATCTTAAAATTAGTGATTATTAGTTTGAGGTTGATTGTGATCAAACTTGATAAGATAATAAGAATATTTTTTTATTTAAGAAAAGACACCAAGTGAATATGCGTCCATAATTTATAGTGGGAAAGCTTAGACTTTTTTTTTTTTAAATGGAATGTTAACAATGAACTGTTAGTAGGGACTAATTTTGAAATTTATTGGGAGTACAATGACTGAATTTGAATATTTGAAAGTACATGGGTTAGAATAGAAGAAGTCCTGAAGTACATGAACAAAATTGATATTTTAATCTTTATTTAAATATCAATATTAACATTATTTTATCATGTACGTGAATTCTATAAATCCATTTTGATTCTCCACCCCACCGCCCAATCGACAGCACACATTTTTATTCCTTTTCAGGTATGTAATTCATAAAATTATTTCAGTGTTCTTTTTATAACAAATCTTGTGTATGTTTAAGGTTTTGACGTCTAAGTATTAAAAAGATTGAATTGTAGCCTGTTTAAAGTTAACGTGATCCTTCCATTATTAATTCCAGCAATTTTTTATTTCTACGATTTTCTCAAGATTTTTGTCAACATCTTGGTTCTTGTTGTAAAATCATTTCCATTTCGACATTAATACTCTCCGAATGTAATCTTCTATTTCCCATTTTCCAACATTTCATGAATGCCCATCTCTATTCAAATGTTGATGATCTTTTGTTTAACTTTTGCGTGTTCTCGGTAATCTCTATACTCTATTAACTCTTAAATAGTACACATAATTTGCAGCGCCTGTGATGAGCCTCCACAAAGCATTGAATCTGAAACTTTGTCTGTTCGTCTCTCTAAAGAGCTGGAAAGTCAGGGTTTCAATTTGCCAGAAAGGTAATTTCTGGTTTGAATTGCTGGAGATTTTTGTAGCTGTTGTCGGCTGAAGAGGCTTAACTGAAATTTTAGCCTTAAATTTTATGACTACAAGACCTATGTTCATACTAACAACTACCAATGTTTTATCATATGAGGTACCATGTTTTATTTGACTTAAAACTTCCATCTATCGCCAATTAGTTACTCTTAGTTTCGCTCTCTTAATGCGTGTCCACTTGGTTTAGCTCGACTACGCGCGTGTAGATGGTGGACGTTATTAGTGGGATTGTGCGTGAATGTGTGGGCTTCTCTTAATGCTCTTGTTATCACATTCTTATTTCGTACAGACTTAATGAAGAGGAGCTTCAAAGATTCTTTGCAGCTTCCAATGGCGACTTTACGTCTTTGTTATCTTCAATTAAGAAGACAATCCGTTGGAGAGAAAATTACAAAATACTTTCATCTTTAGAGCTTGACATGTGGTCACACATGGTCTTTTGGCATGGATTTGATCTGAAGCACAGACCTTGTCTCATAGTACGCCTTGGGCTAGCTTGCATGAACTTGTCATCTGAAGACAGACCCCGTTTCATCCAAGCCATCGGTACGTCTCTTAATTTTATCAACAAACTTTACAGTTTTCTTCCATGCTAAAGATCTTGTTCCGATTGAAACTTCACTATTGCTAAATGTTGATAATATCGATCTCGTAGTTTCTAACGAGAATCTTGATTGTGATCATTTTCTTTTTCTTTTTAACAAAAACGGTTTAGCATTCAGTATCACCCTTGCATTTAGAATGTGATCTGCTTTACTTATTATGATCGCTATTTAGCGTATTGACTGTATGATAGACTCTTTTAAGTGCTTTCGTTATCTTTATTCCAAAGGAACATCGTTTCTTTTCTTTTCTTCTAGTTCTCCTTCCAACCATTCAGTTTCATTACGTAAAATTGAAATGCCTGTAATTGCAGTATCTCAGGTAGAGCATGGGATCGTTGAGCTAGTTGATTCAGAAAATCCAGAAGATCCCCAAATTACAGTTTTAGTGGATTGTGAAGGATTAACTCCTTTTAGAGTTCCCATGCAAATGATGAGATATTGTTCTTCCCTTCTGCAAGATCACTTCCCAAACCGTCTCGGATGTTTGTTCATCATTCGGCTTCCTCCGGTCGTTCGTCTCCTTGCCCAAACTTTTATTCAAGTAAGATTATTCCTCCAGCTTTCCTTGCTGAAAATTTGATCATAAATCGATTATAAGCTCTGTATCTACGGTAATCTTGTAGTTGTCCTTAACAAATGATGAATTTTCTTTTAGATTTTGACACCTGTTACGCGTAAAAAGTTAAAAATTGAGGGGGAGACTACATACAAAAAGGTTTTATCTGAGTACATACAAACACTACCTAGATATCTTGGTGGCAAATGCTCCTGCTCGAAATGTTCAAAAGTAGATATCCATGACATACAACGACTGGATACAATTGGGGCAGTAAACAGAGAGTTGATTACTGGAGGAATCCATGGGAATGATGCAGCTTTAGGGTCTCAGATGCATGAGTTTGACAATCACTTGCCTGGAAACTTTGATCAGATGGTAAGAACTAGCGTGATAAGCATACTTATGTTTTGGGCTTTCATTGCTGTTATTGTCAGTGCGTACGATCCCGAAAACCGAATCTTTTTCCCTTGGGTCTGACTCGAAGCCAGTGACGACTGTGGGGAGCTCAAATTTTATCTACAATGTCCCAAGTTCTGCATTTTGCAGCCAGGAAAAGGAAGGATTATTCATATCATGTTTAGTAATGATATGTGGTATCAATTATAGTTCATGAATTTTGTCCTTTGAATTTTATCCTCGTTTGTAGTAGAATGCAACTTTTGTCAATAGTTGGATGGTACTCGCATTGTAGACATACGATTAAGATTTTCGTGTGGCGAGCTCGTCTTAAATCTCCTATGGCAGTTGATTTAGGGCAAAAGACCTTCGAAATCGAAACCGAGATTGTGATCGAAGAATTGGAGGCAAGGTCTAATAGAAGGCTTCCTTCATTACCAAAGGGCTTACTCACTTTCGATGGATGAAAGTCCTCCATGGGTGCTAAGGAAACAATTTCTTAACCCATTTTTGTGTATGTTTGTACTTTTCCAAATATATGTATGCGCACGTGAAGCTTCGTTTTATCAAATTTACGAGTTTATAGACCTTGTTTGTTCAAAGTAGTCAAGGAATTAATGAATCGAGAGAAAATTGGCATTTATAATCCAATTTGCTGATCGGCCATAATGATTTCAGGAGTTCCATGTGGAAGGGCCTTCGGTCAATAGATTAAAAGTACGTTTCAATAATAAAGTCCTTTGATTCGTTTGTCAAATGTTATTCAGTTTCATTCAAGCTCTGAAAATAAGAAAAAGCGGGTCACCGCACACTCCAACCTTGTTTTTACATTATTACTATTAAGTAATCAATTAATTTATTTATTTGTGTAAAAATAAGTTTTTGATTAAATTATAAATTAGATTTATATGATTTAAAATTTAGAATTAATCCTTAGCTTGATAAAATTTAAAACTATTCATAAGGTTTGATTATTTATGAAATTATAAATACGAAATTTAAAATTTTAAAACTATCGGTATCAAATTTGGAATTTAATTAATATTTTTCGAAATTGGTTATTTATATTATCATTAATTTGTTTATTTTCATTTCGTAATTTGGGTCTTCCCGCGGCCGGGTCAAGGAATTACACCACTGCCCGCCACAACAAAAATCACATATACATTTCCAAAGCACAATCCGTAAAGGTATCACGCGGATCGACATCCACAACCGTCGATTAATTTAAAATCCAACGGACGACGTGTTTCTCGGATGAACTTCAGGAAACCACGCGTGAGATTTGCACTTCCATAAATTCCCCACATACGTCTCAGTTTGGCATCCAAATTAAAATTCAAGCTTAACCCATCCATTTCTCTGCATCATTCTCCTAATCTTCAGTCGAAAAAATGTCTGGACGTGGAAAGGGCGGCAAGGGCTTGGGAAAAGGAGGAGCAAAGCGTCACAGGAAGGTTTTGAGAGATAACATTCAGGGCATTACCAAGCCTGCCATTCGCCGTTTAGCCCGTAGAGGCGGTGTGAAGCGTATCAGTGGATTAATCTATGAAGAAACCAGAGGAGTTTTGAAGATTTTCCTCGAGAATGTGATTCGCGATGCTGTGACCTATACCGAGCACGCTAGGAGGAAGACGGTGACTGCTATGGATGTGGTTTATGCATTGAAGAGGCAGGGAAGGACTTTGTATGGGTTTGGAGGTTAGGTCATAGGTTAATTTTACGAATGATTGTATATCTGAGATTTGGAAATCTAGTCATTGATGTTCTTTTAGTTTTACTCGGAAGTCGTTTCATCGTTGTTCTTGCAATGAAATTTTAATAGATCGTGTACTTTACTCTTCAGTTTCTATTTACTCCCTATCTCGTCTACTCAAACGATGAGAATTTTCTCCTTATTGATTGATAGAAGTTTAAACCGAATCTAGATTGATTGTCTCTTGAGTTTCTGTTTGTTGAATTCATGTTTGAAATGAGTTTCAATTTATGATTCAACAGCTGCTATTCGACAATCATTATGATTTGAATCGATTAAATTAGCATTTGAAAGCAGTTGGATTGTTTCTTATGCACGATCTTAGAAATACGATGGTTGGATGATTCTGCCTATCTTTTAGAAGACTAGCTAGATGATTACAACACTAGATTTCTTATTTCTTTGGTTTTTGAAATATCGTTAAGGATCTTCCATTGCCTTGAACAAGATAGAACAAGGAAGTTTGGACGATGAACTTTGAATGAATTGTATGGGAGATATGTCTTGATCCTTTTTGTGAAATGTACGATTTGGGTTATAATTTCATGTGAAAATGGCAGATTTGTTGGTCATTTTGGAGTCTAGTTTTTCTTGTTCGACATTGTTGGGCTAGAGCACTGTTGAAGTGTTCATAGTCTAGAAGCCCCTTTTTGTTTGCAATGGCTACAGGCTTTGCAGGTTGTTTTGCTTTGGAGCATGGATTCAGATGTGGACTCCTTCGCCGGCGACGGAAGGTGGGCGAGGTTTGTGCTGTAAGCTTCTTCTCTGTCATCTTTTGAGACCAATCTTATCATTATTTTGTCAAACAAAACCACCTGGCTTGATTACCACCATGCGTATCTGGCCTATCTGATATCAAGAGCATGCTCTTGGGCATATTTGAAATGACTTTCTAATTATTTAACATTGTTTTGTTGATCACTTGCCTCTTGTTTGAAAAGGGTTCCAAACGTTTCCCGTTCAAACGAATCTAACATATACTTGTCGGGCTGAAGAAGCCTCGAGCATTAGAAGTAGTAGGATCAAGGTAGTATGGTATGTTTGAAATGACTTTTTAAGTATTTAAGATCGTTTTGAGCACTTGAATAGGAAATGTCATTGCTCACTAGCTTCTTGTTTGAATAGGATTCCAAACCATTCTTGTTTTGGAACGAATCTAGCATATATTTGCAAGGCTAAAGAAGCCTCGGGCGTTAGAAGTAGTAGGGTCAAGGTAGCATTCCATTGGCGTTGAGCTTTCTCACCCAACTACATTCTGATCTCTTAGAAAGAGCTGCTAAATGTTCGAACCTGATAGTATAGATAGCTTATATAGCTTATGTCGAGATGGTTGATCTGCTTGGTGGGGGTGGCTCCTTTATCGTAGATAAACAGCTCGAGCCCTACACGGTTTTTAAGCACATGATTAGGTTAGAATATTCCAACCCGATCGAAATACTAAACTCATGTAATGGCTACTCATCTTTACTTGTATCAATGTCTATTGCTTGTTATATTCTCTCAACCATCTCGAAATACTAAATGCACGATGGTCATCTAGACACTGGTAGCTTTCAGCTTTGAGGCATTTGTGTCTTCCGGGATTGTTATAAGTCAGCTATGCGACGGTGAATTCGTTCTCGAGCCTTGTACACCGCCTGTCACGGTATGAGAATTGACCATCCCCAAAGTTGTTACCTTAATGGTAAGAAGAGGATGCATGAGGCAGGACTAGTGACGGGAGTGAAATCGAAACCTTTGTAGACCATTCTTTTCTGAAGTTCTCCAACTTGTTGATGTGTTATATCATCGGGTTTTTTTTTGTTATACTATATCGTCGAGTTTTTTTTTTTGTTATTTATTATAAACAAAATAATACATAACAAATACGGATATTAGAATAATACATGTAAATTTAAACTTAGTTCAGTGGATAAAATATCGACTATGGTCGATGGTACAAACTAAAAAATCATGAATTTTCAAAATAATAATAATGATAATTTTCATTTATTATTTTATTATTATATAAATTTAGTCTCAAATGAATTTTTTTAATTATACATGTATTTATTTAAATTAAAATTTATATTAGCATAATATATCAATTAAATATAAAATTTAAAAATTTAAATACTTTTCAAGGACGAGGGATTGGTTGTTGCCAAATGGGCAGCAAAATTTTGGATTCCCGCTGCCCGGCTCTGCCCGCCAAATAATCAAAAGAAACTCATTTTCAAATCAGGATCCGTACAGGTTTCACGCGGATCGTGGTGTTCAACCGTCGATATCGTAGAAAATCCAACGGACAATGGGGTTCTCTTCCGAACTTCAAATCCGACTGGAATCAACACTTTCCGTGTCGTATATCCCATAAATACCCCGAACCAGTAATTCTTAACATCAAACAAAAAATTTCCTGTGAATCAATTCGTTGTTCATCTCCCCGAATCTATCGAGAAAATGTCTGGGCGTGGAAAGGGCGGCAAAGGCTTAGGAAAGGGAGGAGCAAAGCGTCACAGGAAGGTTTTAAGAGATAACATTCAGGGCATTACCAAGCCTGCCATTCGCCGTTTAGCCCGTAGAGGCGGTGTCAAGCGTATCAGTGGATTGATCTATGAGGAAACCAGAGGTGTTTTGAAGATTTTCCTCGAGAATGTGATTCGCGATGCTGTGACCTATACCGAGCACGCTAGGAGGAAGACGGTGACTGCTATGGATGTGGTTTATGCCTTGAAAAGGCAGGGAAGGACTTTGTATGGTTTCGGAGGTTAGGTCACGGTTTGGTCTAAAAAATGGCTGTATAGTTTTGTCTCTGTTCTGCTAGTTATCTTTGTTTTTGCAAGTTGTCTTCCATTGTTTAGCAGAATTGATACTGGTTCATTGTCAAATTATGCCTTTAAGTTGTTATTCGTTTGTCCGGCTGTTTTTCTATCTCCTTCTCTTTCGCTCCAACTCGAAAATTGATTCTGTAATCCGATCTTTAAACTCCACTTGCGATCATTTCAGCTTTCTTATATAGATGACGGAATTTGAATTTCTTTATCGTGTACGATTCTCATGGCTTAGTCGAAGAGATATTGGATCTCAGACAAGATTCAATTAAGATACTGAATGGAAGAACTATGGTATAGCTAATTTACTATGACGAACAAACCTATATTGTTGTAATGGAGATTATACTGTTGATTTTCAATCTCCTAAGAATTATATCAAAGAATTGCGATCTTGATAGTGAGAATCTGTAATGTTAAGGATGCAGAATTAAGTGAATGTGTAAATAATTGAATCCATGTCTGTCAATGCGGCAGTTTAAGGATCATCGTTGTCTTTAATTCTTTTGGTATTGACAAACTATGATATTACAAATTCTTAGTTCTGGAAAACTTAGCAACGAGGAACATTCATCTGGGTGCACTTGTGAGGTTCATTTATAGTTTTACTATATCTTTATGGTATTTTAGTACGAACAGCATTAACTCTAGGAATCTGCATATAAACCTTAAAATTCTTATAGAAGAAGAATCTATTGCAAGTTCCTTTTTGATTGGCTAGTCTTATACAGTATGCAATTCTGAGGTAATTTTGCTGGTCTGTTGGTATCCATTTTGTTGGGATTGATATGTTTCTTTACTTTGGTACTCAACAGTGTTAAAACATTTGATTTCCTTAATGATCAGGTGGGCATGAGGTAATTTAGTTACGAGTTTTGCAGGTTGACAGTATTCATCAATCTTCACTTCTGAAATCTATAGAGCTCTGGTTACGATCCTTATGAAGTGTTTTAATACTTGGCATCTGTATTGAACCAATCTGTTGGATCGAGCAGCTAGCAGCAATTTTAGTTAAAATGATGTTAAGCAGCCATGGTCTCCTTCCAATGGTGCTGTAAATTGAAGAGCCTTATGGGTTTTCATTTTTTTTATCATTTCTTATCGAGGTCTTCAAGCTTTGCAGGTTTAGCCATCCTACATTGAAGTGGAGTTAGTGGGCGACTTCTTTCAGGCAATGGAATGCGTGCATGCAGGTCTGTGATCTCAACTTCTTGATATTTTTACTACTGTTCATGATTTTGATCTCAACTCCTTGATTGCTTGTATGCATTTCCTTACTAATCGTGGTTCCATTCGATGCTTGATCGAGATCCGTACATGTGCTTTTGGGATATCATATCATATGTTGATCCTATTTTCCATTATGCGTGGCAGATATGGGGAGGTTTTTAGTATTACCATATCTGCAAATATTTCAGATTTATCCATCTTAAGTTTGGTTATAATGGGATGCAAAGATTTATACAAGTCCCATGAAATATAAGTCATCTTTGATTGTGGTTATATAGCCGATGTGAATTCTCATTCCACTAATTTCTTAGAATGTACTACTGTCTATAGCACCATCACTCTCGCCGTAGAAACTCAAATGTCATCCGTCTTTTCCCGTTCATGCTTTTAGCTGTGCTTACTGTTCTTATGACTCTTCCGATCGATGCAAGGTATTGAAATTAGATTGATATGAAACTTGGATCCGTAGCCTACTTAGATCTCTACTATTGTAGGAATGCTATTAGGAGTGTTATTATTGAGATACTAAGAGTGGTTTAGACGACTGCGGTAGAGAATTGTTTGGTTGATTTGGGCTTTAGATACTAAAGAGTGGGAGAGTCCAAGTACCTCAAACTACTAAGTTTATATCTACCTGGTTTATTATATCGTTTCTGTTCTTTGTCTGTTTATATTTCAATATAGTTTAGATTCTATCATATTTTAATGAAGTTTGAGGGTTTTACCCACTGGCTATTTGTATAATCTCTCTGTTTTCAAGCATTGCAAAATAGGGTGAAAATTAATATCACATGCAAACAATGACAAGTTTAGTGGGCAAATTTTGATTCTTCTTTTTCCTGTCTACATCTGTGAGGTTGAGCATTGTTGGGAGAGGAGTCCCACGTTGGCTAATTAAGGGGTTGATCATAGGTTTGTAGGTAAGAAATACATTTCCGTTGGTATGAGGCCTTTTGAGGAACCAAAAATAAAGTCATGAGAGCTTATGCTCGAAATGGACAGATATCATACCATTTTAGAGAGTCGTGGTTTTTAACATGTTATTAGAGTCATGCTCTTATCTTAACTTAGCCATGTCAATAGAATCTTCAAATGTCAAACAAACTTAGCCATGTCAATAGAATCTTCAAATGTCAAACAAAGAAATTGTAAGCCTCGAAGGCGTAGTTAAAAGGGACTCAAAGTGTTAAACAAATGGTGTATTTTGTTTGAGGGCTCTAGAGAAAGGAGTTGAGTCTCAATTAAGGGGAGATTGTTCGAGGGCTCCATAGGTCTCAGGGGAGACTCTATGGTATACTTTGTTCGAGGGGAGGATTGTTGAGAATTGTTGGAAGAGGAGTTCCACATCAGCTAATTAAGGAGTTGATCATGGGTGGTTTATAAGTAAGGAATACATTTTCATTGGTACGAGGCCTTTTGGGGAAACCAAAAGCAAAGCATGAGAGCTTATACCCGAAATGGACAAATCCGTTTGATAGGAACGTGGGAAGTGTTTTAAATACTCAGCTTGTGTATCATCTTCTGGCATTTGGCATACTTCATTTACATTTGAAGAATACTTATATTGTTACACAGATGTGGCTGGACAATATTTGTACTAAAATTCGTCAGCTACACGTCTTTCGTTCTTGTGAAACTACTTTCCGTGCACAACACTCTGTTAGATACAACATTGCACAAGAATAAGCCTTGATCTAACAAAGTGATCGGAAGATCTTTGGTGTGCTAGTTCTTTCGAGCAAACTCTCAAATTAGGTTCAAACAAAAAAGATAATATTTATATTGTTACACGGGATTCATTTTTGTGAATAATTGTCAATTCTTTTGAGTTTTATTCTTGTGAAAGTACTTCCCGTGCGCAATGATACAACAATGCATGAAAATAAAACTTATTTTTTCAGGAGCTTGACGAAGACATGCCTTGGTCTATCAAAGTGATCAGAAGATCTTTAGCATGCTAGTTTTTTAGAATTAATAAAGGGTATTATAGGAACTCCAACGATTTGACGATTAGAAGAGATGATACAGATTCTCATATATCCATACAGATCTTTACAGCATTTTTGCCTTTTCTGATAGGGAGGTTGTCGGTAGTTTTTTTCTTTTAATTATTTTCTTATTCAATTAAATATTAGAAATTGAAAAAATATATATATTAACATTAACATTTACTTCGTCTATATATAGAAATTTAATTAGGAAAAAACTACATTGGACAATAGCGGTCAGCTGCTGAAAATTAAAATTGGGCCTTCCCGCTGCCCGGACTCGGGAATTTTACTTACCCGCCGAAGGAGAAAAAAAAAACGAGGGATTTCACGCGGATCGACCTTTTGAACCGTCGATCTTTCAAAAGATCCAACGGACAACATAATTCTTGGCTAAACTCCAAAATCAGGCTCCGAATTTCCTCATCCATAAATTGCCCGAATTCGCACGAATTTAACATCAAAATCGAATTTCTGGACAGAGACTCACGGCGCTGTTCATTCCCCATAATCATCGGCGACAATGTCTGGACGTGGTAAGGGAGGTAAGGGGTTGGGAAAGGGAGGAGCAAAGCGTCACAGGAAGGTTTTAAGAGACAACATTCAGGGAATTACAAAGCCCGCAATCCGTCGTTTGGCTCGTAGAGGTGGCGTGAAGCGTATCAGTGGATTGATCTATGAAGAAACCCGAGGAGTTTTGAAGATTTTCCTTGAGAATGTGATTCGTGATGCTGTTACCTACACTGAGCATGCAAGGAGGAAGACGGTGACTGCTATGGATGTGGTCTATGCCTTGAAAAGGCAGGGAAGGACTTTGTACGGTTTCGGAGGTTAGATTTAGGGTTTAATTCGAAAATTTATTGTAGATCATTACTTTTGATCTGGTATTTCGTAGACGAACTTGTTCTTATGAATTTTCTGTAAGTTAATTCCTCATTAGTTTAGAAATGATGGAATGTTTACTTCCTTGAAGATTTGTGCTATAAGAATTTCGCTTTTTCTCCCTGATTCGTCAATGAACTATGTTTCCTGCTAACAGTCAACAATCTGACTTAATGAATTTGATGTTTGTTCTATATCCAAAGAAAAATGAGTTTTGGTTTCTTTTATTTACTGTATAAACGGGTTTCGCTGCATTGTAAGGGTTTTGAGCCATTCAACTTTCAGCGCTGAAGTTTGAACTGATTAGAACATCAAATTTCATCCATGCACTTTGTATGTATGTATTCAAGTTTCAAATGTTTTCCGCTGCATTGATGTGTGCTGTGATTGAGCCCATGATCTGACGCTTTGTTTTCTTCTATTTTTCCTCGGAGTTCATGTTCTGATTCAGAATTTGGGACTATGAACTCATCAGAAGTTCATATGAAATGTAAGAATATACGTTATTGTGCTCTGCTTGAATGGAATATAGAGTCATCTGAATCTGTTGTTTCCATTGTTCTATATGTTTGGCTTTGATAACCCAGGGGAGGAAACTAATCCGTGATAGTTGTAAGCCATGAATTTTATCTGACCTGCCAGCATTATTTGAGGTTGGGGCTGCTTAGATTCATGTTGCAGGTTAACATTTAATTCCGGCAATGGCAACTAATGCTTGAACTAGCAGGTTGACCAAGAAGGCTCTTCTGTAGCTGTCTTCTTTGCTAAATTCATAATATTTTCAGGTGAGAGTTCTTTTTGGGTTGCCCCTTACACCATTCCGCTGATGACTCTTCTGTTTGTGACAGGTTTGAAGATGATAATAAGTTATACTTACAGCTCAACTCCACCACTAGTCGATATTATCTTCTTTGGGCCTTCCCCTCAAGGTTTTAAAAAACGTTTTCTATGGAGAGGTTTCCACACCCTTATAAGGGAACGTCTCTCTAGTAGACATGTTTTAAAACTGAGGTTGACAGCGGATAATATTTGCTAGTGGTGGACTTGAGTTGCTACAATACTATACTTCACTGCATGCTGATTTATGCTGATTTTGTGATGGAGAATAGAATTTCAGGTCTTGTGACTGGTTTCAATTTCTCTACTGGATCAAGCCATTAGCTAACTGTGCTCTTTATCATCTGTTACTGCTTACCAGGTAACATTCAGCTTTCGATATACTAATGGAGCTTTAGTGATTCCTTTGTTCTACCTCTGTTTATTAGCCACCAATGTGATGAGGATGCCTGAGTTTTCCACTTTCCTATCTGTCTATATCTTGTTTTAACATTCAGATATTACCCTGTAGTACTTTCACACTTGTTTTCCCCTCTAGCCTTGGGTACTTTCTACTTTAAGTGTTGAAGACCTTATCAGTATAGCTTCCTCTATGTGTATGATGTGTTCATATGCTGCCTGTAAATTCCAATTCCAAGAATTGATCTCATCTTTTGCCTGCTTCTTCCTCTCTGAGCATTATTTTGAGCTTCACTGATTCATTGGCACTTGCTTGCTTTCAAGTCATCTGATTTTGTGCGTTGTGTATTTGCCCTGAACCAACACAGATGAGAGCAAAGTTCAGGTACTTGTACATAAGCCTGACATCCCCATTGAATATGGTCTCATCGAGAACCCATTCTGCCCTTTACCGAGAGCCATCTTCAGGCTCTTTTTGGTCCTATCGAACTAGACTCTTAACACACCTGAAGGAGGGCATAAAAAACTCCTGACTCACTGTGAATATCGAGAGACGATGATTGAGTAAATGAAGTAGTAGGGAGAGGAGCGAAGCAGCGAGACTGTAAAGGAGAGGAGTTTATAGGATTGCCCGCGATAATAATTCCATAAACACCTAGGGAAGATATGGCAAACAAAGAGTTTGTCATGTGATAAACTCTAAGACCACGGTCACATATGCAGCAGCAGGGTGAGCCATTGCGTGCCTCATTTAACAACTCCACTCCGGCATACTAGGGATGCTTCAAGGCCTCTTGCTAATGCGATCATTCCAATTAGTTTTGTGTCACGGTTATGTTTGTCCGAGATGTGTTGGTCATGACCACATGTCCATGACAAGCCAAACCCTTCATGTCTTTCCACGTTGTAGTGTTTTACTTTTTGTATTTCTAGATTTCGAAAAAATCACGTCGGGATTTGCTAAACATGAAATGCCTTAAAATGTATTGTAAGTGATATGATTAGTTGTTAATTCTCTCTGCTCTCAATAGTTATATACATATGCAGTAAGCTCTTATAATTCCAATTTTAATTTCTCAAATCTTGTTTTCAGAATTTCTCTGCTTCCATTTTTTAAAAATATTTTCTTGAATCGAGGCTAAAGAATCAAGCATACGTCGTTTGGCTGTAGGCAACATGAAAATGAAAAGGCTAAATTCACTTGTTGCTGAAAATTGAGTACCTTTTTTCTTGAATCGGGGGGCCCCGAGTATACGTCATTTGGCTATATGCAACATGAAAACAAAAAAGCTTACATCCTTGCTGAAAAGTGAGTACTTTTTTTTTTATTAGGGCCAAAGGCTCGAGCATACATCGTTTGGCTGTAGACAACATGAAAACAAAAAAGCTTAATTCACTTATTGCTAAAAAATGAGTACTGCACAATCACAAATGAGTACTGCACAATCACAAGTCCTCACAAGTCCTGAGAGTGCAATTCTAACACTTTCCACCTTCAAGAAGAGGCATCTTCAAAGACACCGGGTTTAGCAGATTAGGGATTCGCCAAAGAAGATACCATTTTAATATTCTGTTGTAATATTTTCAAAAATAAGAACTGAATTTTAAAATTATTAAATTAATTGCAAGAGAAAAGCGAAATTGAACAAAAATTAATTCCATTACTAACTTGAATATGAAACGAAGCATATACAAATCACAAGCATCTATTGGTGAAGAAATCGACAAATCCAAAATCAGAGCCTACAAACCCTAATTTTTTTCCAGCTTTTCAACCTAAAATCACCTAATTCTAGATTTAAGAACTTGTGAACTTAGTCACGGCCTTGGTGCCCTCAGATACAGCGTGCTTGGCTAACTCACCAGGAAGAACAAGCCTGACGGCCGTCTGAATCTCCCGCGAAGTTATGGTTGGCTTCTTGTTGTAGCGAGCCAACTTAGAAGACTCCTGAGCGAGTTTCTCGAAGATATCGTTGATGAAGCTGTTCATGATACCCATGGCCTTGCTGGAGATTCCGATGTCCGGATGAACTTGCTTCAGCACCTTGAAGATGTAGATCTTGTACGTCTCTATGCTCTTCTTCGACCTCTTCTTCTTTTTGTCTCCGGCAGCAGCGCCGCTTTCCTTCGGCAGCTTCTTCCCGGCCTTGATCTTTTTCTCCGCCGGTCCTTTCTCCGCGACTGATTTCTTCTCCTCTACCGCCTTTTCGGCGGCCGGCTTCTTCTCGGCGGGCTTCTTCTCGGCCTTAGGTGCCATCGGAAATCGCTAAATTTAACAAAGAGAGGAGAAAACTCAAAGATCGAATTCGAATCGACCCACAGCAGAATGCAGAATACCCTAAAATAAGTGCGACTTACATATTTATACGTGACTTCAATAAATTTTGATTCGTTCACAAAGGAAGCCACAGATTGCTGAGCTGGCTTTATAAAATACGTTCGATCATGTTTTCGATGAGCAATAAATCAACGGTCTATTAAAGGGATGACTTTAGAAAAAGTTCCCGCCATGTCCAAACTTCTGACACGTGGCAATTTATTATTCGTCCCACATATTAGTTGCGGATTGGTGAGTTGTAATCCAGTATTTTCCAGTTCTCAACCATTTTGACGTCATATCTCTATATCATCAAAATTTAATATTTATTATTACTATTTAACCAAATCCAATAATATAATTAAGTTTAAGATATATTTAATACAAAAATTAGACATCTAAAAATAGTATTTAAAATAAATAAATTAAAATAAAATTTTAACTTTTTTATTCCTCATCAAATAGTTATTTTCTATACAAAATTTAAAATGTATTAATTTTTAATTAAGACGCTTAATTTTTGTTTTACATTTTTCTAAACACAATTGACACAAAATAGAAAGAGGGCCCTTCAAAGTTGGGCTTGGGCCCAGTATCATGCAGCAGCCCATTTTGAATGGGCCGTTCTACATTTTCAAGGCCCAATAAAATTTTCAGACCTCTTGCTCTGAGCAGCGGGCACCAACCCCAAATTTTCATCGGCGAAATTCAAAACAGAGCCGAGGATCGATCGAATATCGTTCGCCACATGAATGAACACGAAGAGCCTTTGTTCTTGAAATTGCATCAACTGTGATCGAATCGAGAAGTCTCAGAACTCTCCCACAATCCAACGGATCTAACGAAGCAAGCGGAAACGCCGACGCCGAGTGCCGCAAAGACAGTAGGAACGAAGAAATCCAAATTGGACCGATTCACCATTTTCGCCGGCACGCACAGAACATCGCCGGGAAGGTCCAGCGGGATCCTGATGTAACCGTCACGACCGCATGATTTGGAAAACGACGAAGATAGCGACGTCGCATTGGTGAAAATAAACACCGGAGCAAAGGAGGCCACCGCAGCTGTTAGCGTTAGTAGCGCCGTCCACTTGGCGGCGGTGACACAGAGAGGGGGATACAGAGAGAAGCGGTGGAGGATGGAGATGGCCATTGGAGAAGGAAGAAGAAAGTAAACGACAAGGCTTGTGATGCGGATGAATGTGGGTATGGCATCGAGGGGTTATTTTATTTGAAGATGGAGGGAAAATGGGTGCACGTTTAACAAACTGCCTGAGGAAGATTCTTCTCTGTTTCATTTATATCAGCTTGCCACGTTTTTTTGAGTACCTAAAAAGAAAAAAGAAAAGCTTTTAAGCCGGGAAGATCATGAGTATATAAATAACCACAATATTGAGTTGAACTATAAAAACTTATGCTCAAAATGGACAATATCATAATCGAAATCCTAAGTATATAAATAAAAGACACTTTCAACAAGTTTATACTCAAAATGGACAATATATGAGTATATAAATAAAGGACACTATAGATATTAAGCTATGAAATCGAACAATATCATAAAGGAAAGATCTAGAGTGTATAAATAAGGGACACTACCGACATTAATACCGATAAATATATGAATTACCAAATATAAGTGTTATGATCCCAAAAATCAAAACCCACCACTATTAATGTATCACTCGAGTAACCGAAGATTCAATTATAAATAAGGGGCACTACCTACATTAATACCGATAAATATAAGAATTCATTACCAAATATAAGTGTTATGATCCCAAAAAACAAAACCCACAACTATTAATGTATCATTCGAGTAAAGGAAGCATTTGAATGAGAGTGATAGATACTAAAGAGAGTACGGTTAAGGACTTAAAAGAATTGGACGCTACGCACGACCTATACCTATAAGATCTAACTTCTCCTTCAATGGCACAATCATAAAAACTCTAAAATTAAAGCATGTTTAGCTAAATAGAACGATCTTGTGCTAAGTGATGTCTTAGAAAATTTTCTAAAAAAGACGTGAGTAGAGACAAAAAAGTGTTAAGAATCCGTGTTAGTTTGTAAAGATAGTCTAGATTCTTTAAAACGCTTGAAGAAATAGAAAAGAAAAGTCCGGACCCTATTTCAAACCTACAATTAATGTAAAAAAAAAAATTAATTAGATATCTATTCTTGAAGATGGAGAAAGAGACAGAATGCACCGCGGTTACCACCCACGACATAAACTCAGTATTTCACAGAAGACACCATCAAATTTGGAGTCTTCTGATTATATGATGCAGACAAGCTAACAAACAAAAATATCGATCCGATGAACAAGTTTAAGAAATTTAAGTATTCCTTGAAAATTCAGCAATGCCAGCACTAAGATGATACTAAGTAATAGAGTATTATTAAGGCAACAATCATGGTTATTTACGATTTCAAAATAATCAAAGAACAAGCAAGAACATCTAACCCAACAAGTCTTCAAATGGCAGCCGGCAGTAGCAGCATCAGCACTTTCTTGTATTGTGTAGCCAAATTCATCTCGTGCTTGACAGATTACAGCCAAAAAAACCACAATTAAAACCAATGTAAAATCAAATTTCTACGCCATACTTGAGAATGCCCGAGTATTCAAACAAAAACAAATCAAGATATCAAAAATCTTAGCCACTGATGAGAGATCAGTTAAGAATAAGGCTACAAAAAGTCCGAGAATCTAAAACGTGTATGCATAGATGAGACATCTTAATTGATCACGATGGAAAGTGTGCAAAAGTTTATGATACAGCTAACAATCTCAATCCAGGAAGAACAAATCCAAGAGCCCCAAATTCAACGGTCGAACAGTGATTTTTGATGGCAAGAAGCAAATTCCCAAGGACATGATTCAGACGTCTATCAGCAAGGTCAAAAGTTAAGAGATCAACAATTTCGCTCCGAAGATCAGCCAGATAATTTTCTTTTGACGAGAAGAGACAGATGAACAAAACCACTTCCATTACAAGCACATAAAGTAGAATTTACAAATCATAAGCATCTATATGAGAAAACTTGTCAAATCCAAAAGCTATCAAATACAGGAACGCATCATAATAGGTAAAACAGAGCTCGTAACCCTAATTTCTTAATAATCTCTCACCTAAAGGCACCTATCGGTATCCATTGCTTCGGCTAATTCAGATTCTAAGAACTTGTGAACTTAGTTACTGCCTTCGTACCCTCAGACACGGCGTGCTTGGCCAACTCACCGGGAAGAACAAGCCTGACGGCTGTCTGGATCTCCCTTGAAGTTATGGTAGGTTTCTTGTTGTAGCGAGCCAACTTAGATGACTCCTGAGCGAGTTTCTCAAAGATATCGTTGATGAAACTGTTCATGATACCCATGGCCTTGCTGGAAATACCGATGTCTGGATGAACTTGCTTCAGCACCTTGAAGATGTAGATCTTGTACGTCTCTACGCTCTTCTTCGACCTCTTCTTCTTCTTATCTCCAGCAGCAGCGGCGCCGCCTTCCTTCGGAAGCTTCTTTCCAGCCTTGGGCTTTTTCTCCGCCGGAGCTTTCTCCGCGACAGATTTCTTCTCCTCGGCCGGCTTTTCAGCGGCTGGCTTCTTCTCGGCGGGTTTCTTATCTGCCTTTGGCGCCATCGGAATTTGCTGAGACAGACAACGGGCGGTGGAAAATTGAGAATCGGATTCGGGATCGATGAACAACAAGATACTAATTGCTTAAAAGAACTAACTCGGGCTCATCAATTTATACGAGCTTTCGCTAAGTTTTGATTTGCTGCGGTCGAAGCCTCAGATTGCTGACCTGTCTTAATATAATACGTTCGATCTTATTTTGGATGATCGATAAATCAACGGTCTATAAGAGGCATGACTTCAGAACAAAGTTTCCTTCTTACCCAGACCGGCCGCCACGTGGTAGCTCTTTATTCGTTGTTCATATCGGTTGCGGATTGGTGAGGTGTAACCATGAATTGTCCAATTTAACCATTTTGCCACCAACTTTCTATATTCGTAATATAGAGTTTTTTTAGAAAATATTCATTTTTCAGTAAATTATAAAAAATACTCTCAATTTTATAATTTGTTTTAATAATATGTATAAAATTTTAAAATTATCAATTTTATCCCATAAAAAAATAAAAATTTATGACCCAACATTCAAAATTTTTAAAAATATCCTTAAATTTAAAAAAAAAAAACTTTATATTATTAAAAAAACACATACATTGTCAGCATGATTGAAGATGATATTCGTGCTTGAACCGCATAACGAATATTAAACGATGAAAGAACATTCTTAGAACACACAATGGATACTTAAAAGGTCGTTATTAGAAAACAAACACCGTTACGTTGCAACGAGCGATGAGGACTTTAATATGCTAGAAACACGCTATTACTAGTTGATATAATAAATAATCACTCCAAGGGGAGTAAGATTCGGATTACCTTGTCGATCGAATATCTCAAGGCAAGAATATTGTTTGAGATTCGAATCACTCTATAAGCAAGATCAATCATGTCTAGCTTGAATGATTCTTGTTGATCAAACATCTTAAGGCAAGAACACTTGATTGAGATTTGAATCACTCCACAATCAATATTTGATCATGTCGAGCTCGAATGATTCTACATGCAACCTAAACTACATAAAATTGCAAATAAACTTAGTCATTAGCTAAATAAAAGCACAAATGCTTATTTTACTATATTTTCCAAGTCTCCTTGTGAATATAACATACGTGGCTCTATATAGCCTCAAAATGAAACTATGCATTACAAGAGTAGTAACATTCATACCTAATGACCATAATTAACTATTATGTAATTGTAACTTAGAGTAAATAAAAAATCTTAAAATACATTAATGAAATACAATAACTCTAAATTGTAATCCACCCAAAATTTATAACATGAAATTTTATTATTTTTTAATGTGGCATGAATTGAAATATCTTTTGATAATTTCAACGATATTTTATTCACATCTTCATTGAAGTATATTGTATGATTGATGTCTCTCAGTTCATATCACTAGTGTTCGTATAGTGTCAATATGGGAGTATATGACTGCTGACCAAAATTATATCGACTAGTCATCAATTCTTTATTATTATATTATACGTTATCAAAATTGCAACACATTTCACCGCTCACGTTTTCTAACACATATATCTCTCAAATATGACAAAGACCGTATGTAAAGTCTGAATCTCACAAGGCTGACTTGTTCACTAGGTTAGAATAAGTGTCGCACAATCACTGTTCCGCTGCCACAGGAATATAATCGTAACAAAAATGCACTAAATGACAAAATGTCACATGGTTGAATCCAACCAACTTAAATTTATTGTTAATTTTAAAATATACAATATTTATTTTTTTATTATTATATATATATATATATTTATAATTATTTGGAAGAAAATTTTTAGAATATATATTGAAACTGGAATAACATTTTACTTTTATTAAAAATAAAAATTTAAATAAATGACTCAAATAAATTGGAATTAATCAGACTGAAAATATTTATAGTCGAATTGAATTAATTATTTAATATAAATTATTTAGGTTACAAAATTTATAATTCGAATCGAATCTAAAAAATATTTCAATTTTTAAATTTAAAAATAAAAATTTGGTTCTACAAGCAAATGGACGAGGCCCAATTTTGGTTTTATACAAGCAATGGAAGAGGCCGAAGAAATCACGTTGGGCTGCAATCAAAAGCTACAAATTACTTTGTTTATGGGCCTTCTGCGGATTCGTCCAACATTCTCCAGCTTCAAATCAACAAATCACTCCCATCCCGGATCGAAGCACCAGTTCTAGCACCAAGTTTCGAGCTGGTTCTGCTTTTCAGTCTCAATCATCCCCTTGATGAAGCTCATTCGATATCGCCGATCGTTGAGAACTCCGAATATCGACGGAACAAGCTTCAGAAAGTTTTGTACATGGCGGAGGAACCTCGAAGAGAACAATGAAAACGATTCGCAGTTCGTTTACGAGATCGAGCAGATTGTTCGAGGAAAACAAAACTGGAGGATTGCCTTCAATAACGCATTAATTTCAGTTAATTTAAAGCCTCATCACGTAGAAAAGGTTTTGGTTCGAACACGCGACGACTCCAGGTTAGCCTTGAGATTCTTCAATTTCATGGGACTACATAGAAATTTCCATCACTCCACTGCGTCATTCTGTATTTTAATTCATTCGCTAGTTCAGAATAGTTTGTTTTGGCCTGCTTCTTCTCTGTTGCACACTGTTTTGCTCCGTGGACTAAATCCTGTTGAGATTTTTGATAATCTATTGGAGTCTTATAAGAGGTACAAATTTTCTTCGAGTTCAGGTTTTGATATGTTGATTCAATATTATGTTCAAAACAAGAGAGAAAGAGATGGTGTTTTGATTATAAATCTTATGAGGGATTATGGTTTGTTCCCTGAAGTTAGAACTCTGAGTGCTTTGTTAAATGCTCTTGCTCGAATTAGGAAATTCTGCCAGGTCTTGGAACTATTTGATGCCCTTGTGAATGCGGGCGTTAAGCCCGACAATTATATTTACACGGTGGTGGTCAAATGCTTGTGTGAATTGAAGGATTTTAACAAGGCCAATGATATCATTAATCAGGCCGAGCGAAATGGATGTGGTTTGAGCATTGTAACTTATAACGTGTTTATCCATGGGCTCTGCAAGAGCCAGCGAGTTTGGGAGGCTGTTGAGATCAAGAGATTGCTGGGTGAAAAGGGTTTGAAAGCAGATGTGGTTACTTATTGTACGTTAGTGTTGGGATTGTGCAGAATCCAGGAATTTGAGGTTGGCGTGGAGGTGATGGACGAAATGATTGAGCTCGGTTATGTTCCGAGCGAAGCTGCCGTTTCAGGAGTAGTAGAGGGGTTGAGGAGAATGGGGAGTATTGAAGTTGCCTTTGAGTTGCTAAACAAAGTTGGGAAACTTGGGGTAATGCCTAACCTATTTGTTTATAATTCAATGATCAATTCGCTGTGCAAAACTGGGAAATTGGACGAAGCCGAGCTGCTTTTTAGTGTAATGACTAAAAGGGGTTTATTTCCAAATGATGTTACTTATACTATTTTGATCGATGGATTTGGAAGATCGGCCAAACTGGATGTTGCTTTCTATTACTTCAACAAAATGATCGAGTCTGGCTTAAGTGCAACCGTGTACTCGTACAATTCGCTGATAAGTGGTCAGTGCAAGTTTGGGAACATGAGAACGGCCGAGCTTCTCTTCAAGGAGATGGTCGACAAAGGATTGATACCGACAGTGGCAACTTATACTTCATTGATAAGTGGATATTGCAGAGAAGGGTTAGTGCCAAAAGCATTCAGGATATATCATGAAATGACTGGAAAGGGGATTGCTCCAAATGCTTTTACCTTTACTTCTCTTATTTCTGGTCTGTGTCATATTAATAAAATGGCCGAAGCGAGTAAATTATTTGATGATATGGTTGAACTGAACATTCTTCCAAATGAGGTGACTTATAACGTTTTGATCGAGGGGCACTGTAGGGAAGGTAACACCACGAGAGCTTTCGAATTGCTGGATGAAATGATTAAGAAGGGCTTATCACCCGACACATACACGTATAGGCCCCTAATTGCTGGCCTTTGTTCTACTGGTAGAGTTTCTGAAGCGAAGGAGTTCATAAATGACCTTCACCACGAGCATCGAAGGCTGAATGAGTTGTGTTATACTGAACTTCTGCAGGGCTTCTGCAAGGAAGGAAGAGTTAAGGAAGCGCTCGTTGCTCGCCAAGAGATGGTAGGACGTGGAATGCATATGGATCTAATAAGTTATGCTGTGCTTATCTATGGAGCTTTGAAGCAGAATGATAGAAGATTGTTTGATCTTCTAAGGGAAATGCATAGTCAAGGAATGAAACCAGATAAGGTAATATACACCACTTTGATTGATGGCTCCATCAAAGCAGGAGATCTTAGAAAGGCATTTGGAATTTGGGACATTATGATTGGTGAAGGATGCATTCCCAATACTGTGACATACACGGCATTGGTGAACGGGTTATTCAAGGCAGGATACGTCAACGAGGCCAAACTACTTTTCAAGCGTATGCTCGTCCACGAGGCCACTCCTAATCATATAACTTATGGTTGTTTTCTCGATCACCTCACAAAAGAAGGAAATATGGAGAATGCTCTGCAACTACACAATGCAATGCTCAAAGGGACTTTAGCAAATCCCGTCACTTATAATATACTCATCCGAGGTTATTGTCAGATAGGAAAGTTTCACGAGGCAGCCAAGCTTCTCGATGGAATGATTGGAAACGGTATCGTTCCAGATTGCATTACATATTCGACATTTATCTATGAATATTGTAAGAGGGGTAATGTGACTGCGGCTGTCGAGATGTGGGAGTGTATGTTACGGAGGGGCTTGAAGCCTGATACGGTAGCATTTAACTTTCTAATACATGCTTGCTGTCTCACTGGTGAACTGGACAAGGCTCTGCGGTTGCGCAATGACATGATGTCAAGGGGTTTGAAACCAACTCGGTCGACATATTATTCCCTGATTGGTGCAAGTTGCTCAGCGAGGAGCTAGCTCGATGCTAGTTCAGTAGTAAGTCGATATATGATTCCCTGATTGGTGCGGGTTGCACAGCGAGGAGCTAGCTCGATGCTAGTTCAGTAGTAAGTCGACATATTATTCCCTGATTGGTGCAAGTTGCTCAGCAAGGAGCTAGCTCGATGCTAGTTCAGTAGTAACTCGTCATATTATTCCTGATTGGTGCGAGTTGCTCAGCGAGGAGCTAGCTCGATGCTAGTTCAGTAGTAAGTCAACATATTATTCCCTGATTGGTGCGAGTTGCAAATCGAGGAGCTAGCTCGATGCTAGTTCAGTAGTAAGTCAACATATTATTCCCTGATTGGTGCGAGTTGCTCAGCGAGGACCTAGCTCGATGCTAGTTCAGTAGTAAGTCGACATATTATTCCCTGATTAGTGCAAGTTGCTCAGCAAGGAGCTAGCTTGGTGCTAGTTCAGTAGTAAGTTGACATATTATTCCTTGATTGGTGCGAGTTGCTCATCGAGGAGGTAGCTCGACCAGTTCGGTAGTAGATGAATTGGTGACAATGCTCGAAGATAACCGCATCGGGAACTTCTACGTCTGCAGCTGCGTAGGAAGGAGAAGGAGACTTGACACTGTAAATTAATAGAAGCAGGAAGGATTGTTGTGCATTAGTGGTAGATGAGGAGCAAAATAAAGCTTAGAAACTTTGGTTTCAGTAGCAACAACATCAGGTACCCAATGTTTAAGCTGTTTTGGGAATGCATATTGAATATTACAGTAATGTATGGACATTCTTTACATCAAGGGAGCAATAACACTGAGTTCTTTGATGGAATATACTGTTTCTACTTGTTTGAAGCACTGAGATCCCACGTCGGTTGGAGAGGAGAACGAAACATTCTTTATAAGGGTGTGAAAACCTCTCTAACAGACGTGTTTTAAAAACTTTGAGGCGAAGCCCGAAAGGTGAAGCCCGAAAGGTGAAGCCCGAAAGGTGAAGCCCAGAGGAGACAATATTTGCTGGCGGTGGGTTTGGGCACACACCGCATTCATAGGAGTCACTGTCTTTTTCCTAATGTTCTTGGTTCATATCACGAATCAGTATTCATGGTGAATTGTATGCTTTATAAGATCTCAACCCCGTTTAGCTAACGAAAAAACATCTTTCCATTTCCTCCCCATTTTTCATTTAAATGGAAATTTCTCACCCGGTTGGAGTGGGTCCTCACATGTTAAATAACGTTTATAAATATAGAAAAATTATCTACTACGAAAAAAACATTATGGATAAAACACGTCTTTAGGCAATCATTTACATGTTTTTTTTATAATAAATATATTGTAAAAAAAAAAATTCATAAATTCTATAATAATAATAACAATAATAAAACATATTTAACAAATGGATTGCAATTATTTTTCAACTTAGCGGGAAATTTGAAAATTTTCGATGAAAAACACAAAAGAATTAAAATCTCTATACTCGCTTCTCATTGGTCCATCCAAGAGCGCCACGGATCGCTAAAATAAATCATTCACAGCCGTCGATCAAATATCAATCCAACAGATCAGGTTCTTCCAACACATTCGCCGGTTCCCGCTGCGGTATAAAATCAGCGGCAACTCGCAAACCTGATCCGAACCAAACCCGCCTATTTGCTTAACCACCGACTGTAACTCTCCGGCGAGCAGCGGCTTCGTTTTGTTCACAGTAGGACCTTCAGGCAGCATTCAATGGAGGCCAGCGGCAAGGCAAAGAAGGGCGCAGGAGGAAGAAGAGGAGGCGAGAAGAAGAAATCGGTTTCTCGTTCCGTTAAGGCCGGCTTGCAGTTCCCCGTCGGTCGTATCGCTCGTTATCTGAAGAAAGGAAGATACTCTCAGCGTGTCGGCACCGGCGCTCCGGTCTATTTAGCAGCAGTCATGGAGTATCTAGCCGCCGAGGTAATCAGATCGCGATTTTCCTCTTCCGTTTCATCTCTCTCATTAGAATCGCCATTTTAGCGATTATCTAACTACGCGATCTACAGGTTCTTGAGTTAGCCGGAAATGCCGCTAGAGACAACAAGAAGAACAGAATCATTCCAAGGCACGTACTATTAGCGATTAGGAACGACGAAGAACTCGGAAAATTGCTCGCCGGCGTAACCATTGCCAGTGGCGGTGTTCTGCCAAACATCAACCCGGTGCTGTTGCCGAAGAAGACAGACAAGGCTTTGAAAGAGCCGAAATCTCCATCGAAGGCCGGTAAGTCGCCGAGCAAGGCGGCTTAATCATAATGAATCTGTAATTTATGACGGTGTTTTGGATTTTGTTTGTAATGGTAGACGAAGATTAGGGCTTTGGAATGCAATACTGTAATCGATCATGGCTATTTAGGGATTTTCCGGCGAGGAATCAAACCAGAAGCTCTACTCGTAGTTAATCGTTAATCACAAACTTATTAATGACTGATATTAATGAAATGAAATTAATTAAGTAAAAAAATGTTTTAAATGATTTATTAATTATTATTTATATAAATAACGTTTTATTCTTTGTTGTTATTTTAGAAAAATATATATTCGTGGTTTTTTAAGTCGAGAAAAATATTATTGGTTTAAATATTAATGGGATATTATTACAAGAATATTCAAATTAGAGTGGGACCCACCGTTGGGCAATTTGCTGACGTGGCCAACTAATTGACACCTAATTTCATTTCCGTTGCAATAATGAATCAGGGAATCTAAATAAAAAATAATAATAAATTTGTAGTAATTTTAAATAATATATTAACTATTACACGTGGCATAAAAGAGAGTGAAAAATATGTTAACGACAGGTGTCAGCATATAATTGGTCAAGCTATTTCATAGGGTTCAGGGTCTGGTCCCGCTAAAGAAAGGGAATAAGGTCCGAGATAAAGGTCTCTTTATAGGCGATGAGCCTCTGAACGAATTTTTTTTCCTGTTTTTCGCTAATATCGCCAAATTAACCAACGAATCACTGTCGACCTCTCTCTAAACTCGCACGCGCCACCTTACGCGCCTCGCCGGCGACTCGGTTGCTGCTGTTCTCTCGGTTTCTGTCTTGGAATCGGTACATTTCTCTAGCATTTTGGAGTTTTATGCCTTTCTGTATTTTGTTCGTTTATCTGTTGGTGTTTTTTTTTTTTCATTTCGGGTTGTTTTGATGATGTTTTAGGTTATTTCCAAGGGAGGTTTGTCTTTTTCTTGATCGATTTGATTGGAATTGTAATGGCTGCTCCACCTGCAAGAGCTCGGGCGGATTATGATTATCTCATAAAGCTTCTTTTAATCGGCGATAGCGGTGCGTAATTTTCTTTTCGGTTTCAAATAGAGCTTCATTTTCTAATCTTTTCTTTGAGGTTGTCTCATTATGGTTTGTTGATTCGGAACGCGCGAAAATTTTCCTTTGGGAATGCTTGTTTTTCTTGGATCTGGGATCGCTCTCCCTGATCCTTCAGGTTTTTTTTTGGATGATAATGTCATTACTCATTACGCTGAAATTGATTTGGTGATTGAGGAAGCTTGTTGCTGATTTGATGTATTTTACACGATGTAAATTTGAACATCTTCATTTTATCGACTGCATTCTTTCTGTTGAATTACTGATCCTGTTCGCATTGTAATGCCACTCAATGATGTTCTTTGTTTCTGTTCATTTGGTTGCTTATTCGTGCAGGTGTTGGTAAGAGTTGCCTTCTCTTACGTTTTTCAGATGGATCCTTTACCACTAGTTTTATCACTACCATTGGGTGTGTATGATCTTCAATTTTCTAGATGAATGCAAATGCCTATGTCTAGTGGGATTAAGAAAGTAAAAAGTTTGCATCTGGACTAACTAGGTCATTTTTTCCTCCTGCAGTATTGATTTCAAAATCAGAACCATTGAGCTTGATGGAAAGCGGATCAAGCTCCAAATTTGGGATACGGCTGGTCAAGAGCGCTTCCGTACAATCACCACAGGTATTCTTTTCCACCCTTCGTGATCATACACTTGTCTGTTGCTGGGAGGTGGAATCATGATAGATATATAACATTGTGTTTGAATGAAATTGATTTGTGGCTATTCTTTTCTACATCTCTGCCTAAATTGTAAATCTTTCATGGAATGGCTAATTGTTTTACCTTTAAGATTCGAGTTGAACTTGGAGTTGAGTGTCTTGGGATTGTTTGTTGTTGTTTCTGGTCTCGTATTAGGCCTATGAATGATGATGTTTGGCAGCATAGGTTGCAGTTTCTTCTTTGCTAATTGATTCTCTCTTTTTTTTTTCGTTTGACAAGATGTTTGTGAGATCCCTTGTAAGTTGAAGAGGGGAACGAAACATTCCTTATAAGAGTGTGGAAACCTCTCTTTAGCAGACGCATTTTACAATGTTTTTATCATCATCTTGACAAACGTTTTACAACGTTGTTTTCAGCTTACTACCGTGGAGCAATGGGCATTTTGCTGGTCTACGATGTAACAGATGAATCATCTTTCAACAGTAATCACCATGTTTACCATTTTTGCTTGGAGATTTTTCGTTTGGTGGATTACATTCAATCTTTGTACAAAATTTTATTGATTCCAATGCATCATTCCATCATCTATTATGCTTTTTCCTATGTGGTGGATGGTCAAGGACGTTTGATAGACTTATGAGCTGGCGTAGTACTCGCCCCGATGTGTAAAGGGGCTTATGCACTCCACTCGCTGTCGTATAAACAAGCGTTTTCTTCCATTTTTGTTATCATTTTGCATACTCATTTCTTATTCTCCTCTAACCATTTTCAGATATTAGAAATTGGATTCGCAATATCGAACAACATGCTTCTGATAACGTCAACAAAATATTGGTTGGAAACAAGGCTGACATGGATGAAAGCAAAAGGGTATGTAATATTCTGCTATAAAAGCTGAAAAGAAAGGCATAAACTCTAAATGGTTATGCCACTCACCTCGTGCTTTTAATATCCTTCTCTGTCAGGCTGTGCCTAAATCCAAAGGACAAGCGCTTGCTGATGAGTATGGGATCAAATTCTTCGAAACTGTGAGTTGCTTGCTTGCTCTTCCTTTTGTCTAATTTTTCCACAAGAGTGTGTAAAGTTGTAGGCTGATAGAGATATTTGCATTACAGAGTGCAAAGACAAATCTTAATGTGGAAGAAGTTTTCTTCTCAATAGCAAGGGATATAAAACAGCGTCTCTCTGATACTGATTCAAAAGCCGAGGTATTCTATTGTTATGCTATAGATCACCCAATAATTAAGAACAACATAAGCTCTATTACCTTTTATTTTATTGAATTCACGAACCAAAAAGTCGGGCTTTTGTTACGTTTGCTCGCAGTCGTCGACGATCAAGATTAATCAACAAGATCAGGGAGCCAATGCTGGTCAGGCTGCGCAAAAATCAAGCTGCTGTGGTTCTTAAGATGATGATCAAACCCTTTGAAGTAGTCATGATATTGAAGCCACACTTCATTGATGGTGGGGGCATCTTAGTTATCTTGTGATTCTTTTGAACTTCTTTTAGTGTGTGCAATAGATACATAGGTAATTTCACGTTTTAGAATTTCATTTATGGTCATGTCTATAATGATGAGATTTATTTGGTCTGTTTACCTTTCATTTTTAACAAGTTATCCCAATTATTTGTTTGCTTAAGATGGTTTGTATATAAGCAACTATTTTTACTTTAAAATCACCGAATTCACTTTAAAGTGAAATGCTCTGCAAAAAAATCTTTCCCCACATGGTTTGAATTGAGTAAGTTGAGAAATTTTTTTTGGACCAACCTAGAAGTTCCCAACCCTCTATTTTCGTGTTAGATTTGAATTGTATAACAACGGAGCGTAGAGAGAAGTTTGATGGAAGTGGAACGATCAAGCGGAGAGATAGTTAGCGACAACGTTTGACGAGAAACACAGAGACGAGGTCGAGTGGAGAAATGAAAATTGATAAGAGAGTCCAACAGGGAAGTAACAAAGCGAGTGACGTCAACACCCGACGACAGAAACGAGAGAGATAAGAACTGAGAAGCTGAACGACAGATAAATCGAAAATGAAGTCTGTATCTTACAATCGAGCAAAATCTATTCAACTTTCAACTAAAGAATGTGCCAAAAAGTAGAAACAAACAACAGGAACAAAAAGGCTTAAATTTCCATGTCTTCAAAAGTCAAACCCCCAATACATACACTTCTAAAGCTACACAATTTCACAGTTAACAGAACGTATAGAAAGGTTTTTATGCTAAGAGATTTACAACGTGAATGCAGTTTCCATAATAAAATGGTCACAAACACTCCAAATACGGTGCAAAACCTAAATTCTAACCCCCATTGTTCACTGTACTTGACACTTGGTTGCCTTGAATTTTAACCACCATCCTGACAATAATCATTTTCAGCTTCCATGAAATCGTACAGACCATGAATCAGTTAGCAACTAAAATTTGATTCTCTGCACAGAACCCACCTAATCTTGTCTTGCATTTACAGAACTTGCAATGAAGTCTAGCCTGCTAAAGGTTAAGTTCATCCTTACCATATATGCGCTGAAGCTCACGAGTAGCTGCTTGAAATGATTCTGAAAAAATCAATGCAAAACATATTATTCAAGTGAAGAGCACAATTGTAGGTGGTGTTGTGTGTGTGAGAGAGATAGATAAAGAAAATTTATTCTTTACCTTTCCAAATCCGAAAAGATTTCTGATTGATAGGTGCACCAAATATTGTTTGAATTGTATCAAACAACAAGCTCTCTGGGGTGCTTCTTAATTCTTGTACTATTTGGTAAATCGTCTTCCCATTCTCGAAGTATATATGATTATTTGGGTGTTTTGTTTTGCAGCCAGCGTGGCGCTCAAACTCGTAGGCATTAAGCATCTTCCAAGGAAACACAGAAAGTGTGTGTTAGGTCTGATCTGACTGAATGTATCTTGAACTGTGGCATGAGGGGAAAATTTTGATTACTTACCTTGGAAAAGTTGCAAGATTGGCATCCACAAAGATAGCCAGATCCCCTTATAATTCCACGAAGCTCCTAATAAAATCGGTGAAGCGTATGAGCAGCCACACAGTGAGCACAACTTAGAGAGTAAATGAAGTGAAGAAAAAAAAGTTACCTCTCTGGCTACAGAAACATACTTAACAGGAACGCCATCGAGCATACCAGTTGATATCAAGCTTCTAACATTTGAAGGAAAGCTGTTTGGAGCTTCTTTCCTCATTTTGTATTCTGGTCTACTCTTCGGCATCGTATCAGGCTTTTGCTTAGCTATCTGTGTACAGCTTACACCTACATCAAAACTAGATGATTCCAATTCTGTGACACCATCAGCTTCAGTTGCTTGGAATGAAGGTTCATAGAATGTTGAGTCATGGCTACCCAGAGACCTGCCTAAGGAGATAATATCTTGCTCATCGGGAAATCCGTCAAATGAGATTATATTTGCATCCCGCTTACCATAATCATCACCGATGGAGACAGCATTGTCGTCCACCTTCCCATTATGACCTAGTAACCTAATGTGGCGATCCCCATCGTTGGAGGTTTGGTTCATCAAATTGAAACTGTCATCCTCCTTAATATAGGCTGATCCCACAGACACAAGACCCGTTTCGATATCCTTATAGTAGCCTTCTATGGTAAGTTGACCACCATCTTCCCTATTAGAATTACTTCTTAGACATGGTTGCAGATCATGTATATTATCTTTAATCTGATTGAGTTTAACTTTTCTAATTCCTCCGTAGCTAAGACATGTTTCAGGGTCCTCCAAACCATGAGAAACAGACAACCCAACAGATGCATCCTCTCCATATTGCTCTTCAACTTCAATACCTTTTCTCCTGAGATCCAAATTATCAGACATTACAGAAGATGTTTTTGTTAGATCGAAGTCAGCGGACCTTATTGATTCAGGTCCAAGTAGGCGACCGATAAGTTGATGTGAAACAGACTGATAATTAGCAGCATGATGATCCCAAGGAAGAACATTCACATTTGACAGCGCTCCGGTCATTTTACTATTCGAAGCTTGAATTGCTTGTTTCTTGTTGGGGAAAACCTGTGTCTCACAACCATCTATAAACCAGTGATGTGCCCGCTTAGTGTCTAGTAATGATGGGCTGTCAAAAGTTGAATTTGCATCATTTTCATGCCCAGGACCCTTAGTCATCCAAAAACCTTTGCTCTGGACAGAACATCACAAATAGTAAGAGCAAGTGGATTCTTTCTGTCATTTCCAAAACCATAGGTCCACCAAGATATGATTATTCAGAGAAGAAATCAGAAAAGAATTAATGCCAAGAAACTATTTACTGTCACATTTTTGAGTTTTATAGCACTGTTCTCCATGATATAATTTCTTTTTTCAAAAGGTCTTTTGAGGGTGGTACACAGAGTTCATGTTCGTAATTTGTATATAAGGAAAATTGCGCTAGTCTCGAGTCCTAGAAACATCAAGTTCATTTTACAATCGTAAAACTTATCATCAGAGTGATGAAACAAGGAAGGCAATCAAACATCCTGGACATCAAGATCGCTAAAGCCTACTTCAAAATTTGAAAGACAAAAGTAAAGCATTCAAGACCGCAATACCGAATTAAACCCTAAAGTATGGTTTTGGTTAGGAATATGTAAAACACTAACTAAATACAAATTAAAAGAGGGAAACTGTTTCCATTTAAAAATTCAATCAGATGATTCCATGAGATCTTGGTCAAACTCTTAGCGCCTAGCCATTACTCAAATCTAGTATTCTTCCAAGCTCAGACGCAAGCAGTTTTAAGCAAAAAAACATAGAAATTCATACTTCCAGAACTTAAAAGCATACCATTCTGATTCTTCTTCTAGTCCGAAGTAGTATTGTCTCATTCACTCAACACAGCATGTACCACGCGGAGAAGCATGAACCTCCATAGAAACTCGGTCTAAAAACAGAGGTTCCTCGTTAAACGAACAATCTCCAAATTTCTTCGAGCTCACCACTTCACTACACCAATTAATGAGAAAAGAACTATACTTAAACTTCTAATAAACGCCGAAAATTTCAAGAAAAGAAGACATCATTTTCCCTTTACACAATAGCCAAACAACATCGATCGTGCAATTTTTCGAGCAGGAGAAAAACCTAGAAATGGACGCAGAAACACAAAATTGAACTTCTTTCTACCATTAACATGAACAGGGAAACCATACCGTCCGTTGATTACTAGGTTGCGGAACAGTAGAGTTCCGGCGAGGCTACCAATCCGGCGACGAATTTCGACGAAAATGATGGCTTCATGAGGGAGGGGACTGATAGGGTAATTGGCCAAACTCCAGTTCTAGAAAGTGGAAACTAGTTGAAGAAAATACTCTATTTCCTGACGATGTATAATTTTTTTAATTCTTTCTTAATATACTTTTTTTTAATTTAAATATCATTAAAAAGCAAAGCATATATGACAATGACAAAAAATAATATATATATATTCAGACATATAAATAATACCCATTTTTTAAAAAAAATCCAAGCTAAATAATTTCACATATTTAAAAAATATATATTTTCAGACATATTGGAGACGGGTATTGTTGTGATTATTTATTAAGAATTTTCTAAAAAAAATTAATTAATTAAATTAATACAAAATTTTAAAATTTTTTAAATCATCTAAAATGCTTCTAGAAACTACACGACAATTATTCTAAAATATTGTTTTGTTTCTGTGCTTGAGTAAATAAGAGATACATGAATAAATTAATATGAGGTTAGAATGAAACTAATCTAGAAGATATGAAATTAGTATTAAAAAGTATTAAAAAAATTCATAATCGTAACTATATAAATAATTTTGATAGCATAATCATAAGAAATTCGTTCATGTTGTTCTTATATTTAAAGAAATTGAAGGGATTGTATACTCATCTTCAAGACTTTGGTTCAATCCATTTTGGTTTTCAAGAACAGGAAACTCTGTAATTTTCTACTCAATTTAAACATATTTCAGTCTAAATCTCAAGAACATGCGTTTCAAGGCCCAAGAACAACTATGGCAGAAGCTATTTCCGAAAGAGGTAGAGCGCCGCCGTAAAATCCGCCCGAAGTTGGAGGAGAAGAACCGCCTGCCGCCACAACCACCGCAACGCCGAGATTTCGTGATTGCTCCATCGGTTGAATCAATAGATTATTATAGGCTAACTTCATTTCTTGAAATCGATCGCTCGTTTTTTTCGCCGTGGAATTGGAGCCCTAATTCGCCGCAAAATCACGACAATGCAAGAACAAAGCACCGCCACCGTATGATTTTTCAACCAGGTTCGTTCTTCAGCGTCGATCTGGTGTTTTATTTCCGGTAAATGATTTTTGTAGCGCGATTGTGGCGTTCCGCGATGAAAATTATTCCAATTTGCTTAATCGATTATCATATTTTGGAGTTGTAATTTTCGCTGTTCTCATATACTTTAATTCTTTCAAATACTCATCAATTTCTTCATAATTTCTGGAAGATTCTTGAAAGATAAAACAAATTTTGTGTAAGTTTACAGTAACAATAAATAAATGAAATAATTTACACCAAAAAAAAAAAAAAAATTATGTCAAGCAACAGACCGGCGGAGCCATCAACTGCAACCGAACAAGATCATTCTCCAACGGCGTCAGATTCAAATCCACTCCAAAAATTCCTCCAACGCCGATGTCGTAATCGGATTCATCGGAGACAGGCTGAGTCGTCGGTGGACAATCGGCGAGCGGAGAAGAGTTCCGGTGGCGGCGCATATGGCCGCCGAGCGCCTGCCCTAGGGGAAACTCAAGTCCACAGACAGAGCACTCATGAGCCTTCGTCTTAATAGCATTATTATGAAGACCGTCACCGGACAGAAACGGTTTGAGCTTCCGATGAGAAGCTCTGTGGCCGCCAAGAGCTTGAAACGAGGAAAATTCACGATTACAAGTTTTGCAGACAAAAACTCGGCCGGAAAACGCCGCCGTGTTGGCGTGGTTTGAAATCAAGCAATCGGCGACTCCCATTACGTCGATTTGAGATTGAACTCTGAATCGCTTCATCAGATGAAATGGAAACAAAATCAGATGAGTGAGCGGATATGGAAATTGGATCAAAATGTATGAATATATATATATATATATTATACGTCGGCAGATTCATGAAGGTGTGGATGCGGCGGAGAGGGATGAATGAGGCCGGAAAGCGCTGCGATGGAAAGTGCTGCGACGTTTCTGATTCTGATTCTGTTTCCAGCAGATTTTGGACAACTTTGTGTCAAAGCGCGTGGCTACCAAATTCATCCATTATATATATATATATATATATATATATATATATATATATTATTTATTAAATTATTTGACACTACTTCGTAGTTAAGCTTGACACGTTTTTTGCAAGTGACTTTGTAAATTAATTTCAATATTTATGAGTAAAAAAAAAATTAATTCCAAAACTAATTAACCCAATTAGTCGTTCTTCATGGTTCTAGTTCGTAGATCCACGAACACCCATTAGTCGTGACAGTCAAGTGACACTCGAGCAAAAGAGGAGTATATGAATGAATTGAGATTAACTTCGAAACGAGAGTGATCACAAGAATAGAATAACTAAAAAGAACTTAAAGATATTGAAATTCACTACTAGTTATATTTTTGAATTCGGTGACTCAATCATAAGAATTAAAGAACCGAGGAAGGCGAGGACCAACCTCGACGTTACAAATCTGTATCTTTGTATTTTTTTTTTTGGACCAACCTCGGATTTAATTTTTTTTAAAAAAAAATTTAAAATTATCATTGGAAGCTACTCTATTGGGGCAAGGGATTTGAAGGCTTCTGGCAGAGAAGAAACAAGAGGAGAAAGGGAAGAAGAAGGAGGAGGAGGAGGGGCGCCGGCGCCGGAGCGGAGGGTAAAGGTGGGGCGGGCCACGTGTTGGGAAGGGGATGGGGAATGGGCCGAGAGAATTATTGGGCTGGGCTGACAAGAAATTTTAAATATATTTTTTTTAAAACGAAGGTATTTACACTATATAATAAATATTTAAAACAAACCTTATTTTCCAATATATATATATATATATATTTGTCTATAAATTTTAAAACATATTCACATATCAAGAAATTAATTATTATTTTTATCAACCAATTTCATTAAAATTAACTTAATTTTTTAAAAATTATAAAAATTAAATTTAAATGGTACTAAATTTAGGTGTCTCGGACATTCTGCTAAGAGGTTTGAGGTTCAAATTTTTAGTCTGACACATATCTTACACTTAAATCTTTGATCCGACGCATATCTTGAACTAAAAAAAAGATGTGTAATAAATTACGTTATCTTATCTCCTCACATAGTTTTAGTTATCTTATGAACTTAATATATATTTTAGAGATTAGTAGATGTTACCCATACAATTTTTGCCACATGCCACGTGACATCACCACCAGCATTCTTACATTTTTAACTTTCTTTATCCCGACTCGTTGAATTCAAGCTAAGAAAAATAAAAAGAAATACTATAGCTTTACGAATGAAACAGAATCGTTAATATTTGAAATAGCATAATATTTGGGTCGAAGGAGTTCATCGACAAAGTGACTCGAATGCAAAGAGGGGTTAAAAAGTGGTGATTTCCACGTCACGAGTGATTTATCTCTTAAAAAAAGAAAAGAAAAAGTGTTGGCACTAAAAAGAGTATTGAAAGAAGGAAATGAAGGGGTGGGCAAAAAGGCAATAAAATATTTAAATGCAAAAGCAAAATGCTCCACACTATTCCTTGGCTGCTCATACTCACATTATTTATTTATTTATTTATTTATTTCTTAATTTGTCTGTATTTGAGTTTTGATAAACACACCCCCGGTGATACCAAATTCTATTTTTTTTTTCCAACTTTTTTTTTATTTTTAAATTTGCTAAATTATGCTCTTTGTTATATAATATATGATTTATGTTTATTATTGTTTTTTTAAATAATTTATGAGTTTTTATTTTATTTTATTTTAATTTATTGATGTGAAATTATGGAGATAAAATAATAAATATCTGCTTGGAGTGTAAGCCCAAAATGGTGGGATGGAGAACTTAATTTGATAAGATAAGGCCTAAGGGTGTGTGGATAGGATTTTTGGCCAAAATAATCTTTATTTTTAGTGGCTTTTATTCATTTCTCTACTTTTTTTTTTTTTCCTTTTTTTCTTTAATGCTACTTTTTTAAAATACCCTTTTATTATTAATATTATTATTTGAAAAAATTCAATAACTTGGTTAATGTTTTCTTAAAACACTCAAAATCCTATAAACAAAATATACAAGCAAAAGAAATATATCAAATCAAAGAAAAAAGTTGAAGAGACGTATCTAATCCATAGCTTAAGTTAGTTCAATACCGGATAACTCCGGCATTTCCTTACAACATAACCATGTTATCTACTTGTTGTTCTTAAGAGTAAAAACTATCTCTACACACAAATATGAATCTTTTTGGCATGTTTTGTCTTTACCCACATGTTTTTATAACCATGTTACCTACTTGTTGTTCCTAAAAGTAAAGATCGACACATACTAATACGAATCTTTTCGACATGTTTTGTCTTTACCCACTTGGTTTCGAGGAAAATATCCAGAAAGTCACCCAACAAATGGTAGTTCTAAGTTAAACACGCTTAATTTTGGAGTTCTCTAATAATTGAGTCGCTAGAAAAGAAAGGTAGACATTGTTGATATGTGTAGTAATTTCAATTCTTTTAACCTTCACAAGCAGATAAATCTAGATTTACCGTGCAAGTTTGTTCATCCAAACTACATAGATTTAAGCTTACAAAAGCTACATTTTTTACAACATGCTAACTTGCACGAATCATAAACCTACGTTTCAAGCACAAGTTATACGAATTCAAATACGCAATCGCACGAATTCAAAAGTTAACCATCAAAAACAAAAAATTGACCAATGAAAGGAATTACTTTTAAGCTCACTGAATGGTTTTTTTTTTTTTTTTTTTTTTTTTTACTTTACTTTACCAAAATAGAAGCGATAATGAAGAGCAGTGGAAGTGTCGTGTGAACAATGGCAAAGCAATAGAAAGTGGAAGTTTTATTCATGTCCAACGGTAGTCCTTATTCGTCCTGTCTTTGTTTCAAACAATTGGCTTTGGCTGATATCATTGTGGAGCCATCTTCTTGGGCAGCTTATTCCAGCAATCACAGAACAAAACCATGGTGTTGTTGGTGGAATTTCGATGATGTCTTTTCTCAATACAAATGATTTGACAGCCATTTTCAGAAAGGGAAAGAGGAAAGGGATCCACGAAGAACAAGTTTCAAACTTTTTGCACATTGGAACTCTCTGGGGCATTTCGTCGAACACTTCCAATGCATATGCCAAGTGCCTCCCACAGGCTCCACCTTATTTCAAATTCCACTACATCTCAACGTGGGTTTTTTTAATCCATAGTGGGTTTTCTCGAAAACGATTTAAAAAACTAAGAGGTCATCGACCCTTGGGTTTGAAGGAGGCGTTTTTGAAAGCAACATCCACATATCAATCGCCTACTTTGATTATTTTGGGCGCTAATGGCATACACCATAGGCATAAGGTTGCTTATCGCTAAATACCCCCACCCCACCACCATGGAGGCTCTATCCCAATTACATTACATTACATGTACGGTCAGGATGCAATCTCCTTGGTTATTTAATCTCAGAGTAAAGTTGAGTGGTTAAGATTTGGATGCTATAAATATTAGTAGAATACACCCAAAATCTCCATGAGTTGGTGGGAGAGAAGAAAAGAACAAAAAATGGTTGAGGGACAGGAAATCAGAAAGGGTCCATGGACAGAGCAAGAAGACATCCAACTGATATGCTTTGTGGGCTTGTTTGGCGATCGAAGATGGGATTTCATTGCTAAAGTTTCAGGTTTGAAGGTGGCGGGAGACAGTTGCTAGGTAGGCTAAACTGAAGATTTGCTATTTTTGTGAAAGGCTCTGTTTTAACTTCCCATTTGGATTTGGGATTTGGGATTTGGAATTTGTGTTGTAGGACTAAACAGAACAGGAAAAAGTTGCAGGCTGAGATGGGTTAATTACCTTCATCCTGGTCTCAAGAGAGGCAAGATGACTGCTCAAGAAGAACGACTCGTGCTTGAACTTCACAACAAATGGGGAAACAGGTCTATCCCTAGAACTATGAAACCTCTCCCTAGCAGACGCGTTTTAAAACCTTGAGGGGAATCTTGGAAGGGAAACCCCAAAGAGGACAATATCTGCTAGCGGTTGACTTGGGCTGTTACACATCATCTCTAACTTCCTTTGTTTCATCTCAGATGGTCCAAAATTGCTCGGAAATTGCCTGGCCGCACGGATAATGAAATCAAGAACTACTGGAGAACCCACATGAGGAAGAAGGCACAGGAGAAAAGAAGGGCTTTGTCTTCATCTTCCTCCTCCTCGTCCTCTTATTCATCCAACAACCCAGCTGTGGAGTTCCCTGCAGACACTGGACCAGTGAAGTTTTTCGACTCAGGGGGGTCTGAAATCTCAGCTTCATCATCATCAACAAAGAAGAAGATGGTGGAGAATCAAGAACTGGGTGATCCAAATGGATTCTCCATGGATGATATATGGAAAGATATTGATCTATCGGATCATGAGAGCTTGACTATGAATCAAGATGTGTACAGTGAAGAAGACTGCAACAACTTTTCTTGCCCTGCCCTGACATCTCCTACTCCTTGGGACTATTATTGTGGGGATTCTCTGTGGAGGATGGAGGAGGAGGAAGAGAGTAAGCTAATTTTCTCTGGGTATGATCATAACGGGAGGCCACGCCTTGCTCAGCCTAATCAGAATTTTTTCTATTGAATTTTGTGTATACGTAGTGGTTAATCAATATCCAAGAAGCGTGTCTCTTCTCTTGTTCAAGTTTTCTGATGATTTAGTTCACTAATGGATTGTAAGTAGTATCTTTAGCTGTGTTTTTCCGGAAAAGTTTGTTCGGACAACCAAAATATAATGAAAACTGATGGATGTAGAACCATTTCCACTTGTGGGCTGTGATAAGTTTTAGTTCTTTCTACGGCTGCTTGTTTCTATCTTCTAATGGAAAGCAATGGTGTTTATAATAACAGAGAAAGAGAGAGGTTAAGTTAAAACAGAAGGCGGCTTTTGCTTTCCTGTGGCGGCTACTGCTGCTGATATATAAATTATATCTTGTTAGCTGGAGAGTTACGTTAACACCAATAACAATTCAATTCCACCACACACATACATCATATAAACTCTAATATAAACCCTAAGTTGGTGTAACAACTCAAGCCTATTGCTAGCAGATATTGTCCGTTTTGGTTTGTTACGTATTGTCAGCCTCATAGTATCAAACGTGTCTGATAAGGAGAGGTTTCTACACGATTTTTTTTTTGGGGCTAGAAGTTCAAACTTCTATATCTCTATCTCATTTTTTTAGTTAGGCAAAATATTAGGAAATGGAAAGATGGGATAGAAGTAAAAGGTAGCATAGTAGTGAATGATTTTCTAAGAGCATATTCAATAGATGCCCGCCAAAAACCATTCTATCCTACAATTTGTCGAAAGGGAAACAATAATAACAAATAGTATCTAACATCCTTCTCAAAAGAAAGTATCTGAGAATAGTAATCGACGTTCTGGGTTAATTTTTAACATTTAAAAAAATAGTCCCTTTCGATATCAAACTTTGCTACTTCTAGGTGTAACAACTCAAGCCCACCATTAACATATATTGTCCTATTTTGGCTTTTCTTTCTAGGATTTCCCTCAAGATTTTAAAACGCGCCTACTAGGGAAAGGTTTCACACCCTTATAAAAAATGTTTCATTCCCCTCTCCAACATACGTGGGATCTCAGAATATGTTGGTAGCTCTAGATGAGATGGCCATAGCCGTAGCTCACCACTGACCAAACAGTGAAGCTCAACATCTTCGCCTTCAAATTAGCCACAAACAAGATTAGGTTTCAGAACAATTTGACACGACACTCAAAAGACCTAGAATTCATCCACTTGAAAAGTGCTAATGCGACACAAGAACAAGAGAGAACACTTGTAACACTCAGCAGGGCATTGAGTTAATATGGTCGCATCAAACATCAAATTGCCAAGTCTTGTTGATAAAAAAATAGAAAATTTGAAGTGACTGAAATAAAAAAGATACATAAAAAAGTCATCTACAAGAGTCCACGATTCTCAGTCACATTCCTTGTGGAGAGACAAAAGTGAGGATGGGAATAACTTTTAACCAAAACTAATCTTGTCCGCTTATTGAACGTCTAATAAACACGTATCAAGATTTGGAGATTTGCTTGTGGATTAGGATTGTCATCTCAGAATATTAAGATAATAATATTGAATGAATAAATAATTCACTTATGGGCTTCTGACAAACAAAAATTTGCACGTCTCTAATACTACTTTGGATACAACGAGTTATTTTTGCAGATTCTTTCCATATATTTTGTCGGGCAGCCTTGGAATAATTTCCTCTTAGTGGAGACACAAAGAATTAATTTCCTAAGCTGAAAACAAGATTCTATGTTTGGCAATTTATTGACTTTGAGGCCACAAGAGTGTCAAAAGAAACAAAAGAAGACCCAAGTTCATTTCAATCCTACTTCCTACTGCCACTGTCCAAGAAGTGATTTTCCCCCAAATTGCCGTTTCCACAGGAAAAACCTGAGAGAAGCCATCTAACAGACTTGTGGGCAATTTTGCAGCCACCACATATACTAGTGGTGCTTACTCTTCGTGGGAGAGCTTGTCGTAAGTTTCTTACCCTCTGGTTCCTATGAAGGTTGAGAAATCTGATAGAAAATGTTGAAGAATGTCGATTGGAACTCAAACTTGTAGGCTGAATTGGATAAGAGAAGTTCTTATGATTTCCTTTCTCTTAGAAGGTTTCCTGCAAATTGCTGCATTCTTGGAAATCAATCAGGAGCTAGTCGGTAATTTAAATGAGCTTTGGTATTGCTCTCTTGCTTGATATCCAAATTTGCTGTTGTTGCTCTCTGGTTCATAATTCTTTCTTTTTGTTTTACAGATTCAACAGTTGCCTTTTGTTTTCATCACTTTCCTGTCTTGGAGCTTATCTTAGGTTAATTCTTTTCTTTTTCCTTTAAAATTAGGTCTCTGTGTGTGAGATCCCACATCGGTTGGAGAGAAGAACGAAGCATTCCTTATAAGGGTGTGGAAACCTCTCTCTAGCAGACGTGTTTTAAAACTTTGAAGGAAAGCCCGGAAGGGAAAGTTAAAAAAAGACAATATCTGCTAGTAGTGGGCTTGAGCCGTTAAGCCACTTTGTTTAGATTGCTAAACCGAAAAAATTAGAGGTTGATTTTAGAATTTTTTGTTTGTCAGAGACTATTAGCCATGTACCAAGTTCGTCCATAGCGGATGGGTCTAGTAGGGCTGGACTAGTAAGCAATAATCATGCAAGGATAATTGTAATCTGCTACAAATATCAGAGATTTTACCTTGCTTATACTGAAATCTAGATGCAGTAGACATTAAAACCTTAATGCAAGAAGTCATTTAAGAAACCCTTTATGGTATTGGTTGCATTCTTCCATGATAAAGTTGACTTACTTATCAGAACTGAATTCTAAGTCTACTGGATGCAACCTATCTATATCTGAAAGAAGAAAGGAAGAAAGAAAAAAGTTGAATGGAAACAAACCTTTTCATCTACAAATTTAACATCGAAAGCCTACAACGGTTGTTTTGAAACAAACTTAAATGAAACTTTTTGAAGTCCGAAAATTTAATTAAAACCAAACTCATAATTTAAGGGTGTTTTTGATAACCTATAAAATATTGTTTCAAACAATATGTTACTTATCCAAAGAACTCCACCAACGATAAAACAAAAGGTTAAAAAAAGAAGTAAAATAATTTTGACTTTCCGACTCTCTGTCTTTTGAACTTAGAAGAAAAAGGATTACTATAATATAGTTTCCTCGTTTTAAAGTACAATTAAAAGCCTGAATATCTATGAATACTACACATATTTTAAGTTCAGTATTCAAATGGGATAAAACTGAAAATAAGGTTAAAAATGAAAAGATCAAATGTAATGACTAAAATAACAACGGTTGAAAGTATAGAAACCAAAATAAACGAAAACCGAAAATACATGGACCAAAGTTAACTTTATATGAAACTAGGATGATAATCAAATCTAGATCAGATTTCTTGGGTTTAATATATTTTTCATCCTTGAGTTATAAGCCTATTGGAAATTTTGGTCCTTGATGTTTTGTGTAGTTGAATCATGTCCCACACATTTTTTTAATTGTTTTAAAATTTTTGTTCTTATTACTAAATCTATCCTGAAAAAAGAAGAATCTACAAGGACAATGACATGTTTTGCTTGGTTGACAGGATTAAGAAAAGGCAATTGAATATTTATTGGTCGTATTTGCATATTGATGAAAAAAATGACTCCAAATATAATTGTTCTAAACAATCATTTATATATTTTAAGCATAAGGATACGAAATATGTAGATGGTTTTGTGTGTGGCCCCACATCGATTGGAGAGGTGAACGAAACATTCCTTCATAAGGGTGTGGAAACCTCTCCCTAACAGACGCATTTTAAACTGAGTGGAAACTTGAAAGGGAAACTCCAAAGAGGACAATATCTGCTAGCAGTAGGTTTTAGCTGTTACAAATGGTATTAGAGCTAGACACCGAGTGACGTGCCAGCGAGGAAGCTAGGCCCAAGGGGGTGAATTGTGAGATCCCACATCGGTTGGATCATGCAGGTGCTCTAATACCATTTGTAACAGCCCAAACTCACCATTAGTAGATATTGTCCTCTTTAAACTTTCCTTTTTGAGCTTCCCCTCAAAGTTTTAAAACGCGTCTCCAGTTTTCATTTTGTTTAAGAAATGTAAGCCAGCTACAACATAACATGTCATACCTACAATCAATCATTCTTCTTAATAGAGATAAGACCAGTGACATTATTACACCAATAAGCTTGATGGAATAATTGAAGCTTTTAGAACTTTTTGAAGTATCAAATTGGATAGGAAATTGAAAGAAATGGAGGGGAAAGAACATTTCCCCTTTGGCAAATAACTAAGCGTTCAAATATATGATTGCAATGGCCATGATTTTATTCCAGGGGAAAAAGAAAGTGTTTTTGACTTTCTGTGTCCACTAATCTATTGATTGCTTTTGCATCTGTCTATTCGGTTCGGTGGTCTCCTTCGCCTAGTTTTCTGTCTAAAAAATATCCAGTCTTTATTACCCCTTTCCCCTCCCCCCTTTTTCTTTTATATTTTCCCGAGCCACCCACCAAATCTAATCATTTCGTAAAAGCAGAAAGAAAGTAAGTATTGACTCCTTGAGTTTTAAATGTGTTAGTTTATATGCACATGTCTCATACACTACTCCAATCCAAGCACCCTAAACGCATTAGCAACAGACACCCCTTATCCTACACTAAAAATATTCATTGGGGACTTTTATCAAACACTTGGCGGGCATTCCTTTGCCTCACCAAAATTCATACCATTTAACAGGCATCCTTTCCCTTTGCCAAACAGCCTATTCAAATGCCAACAATACAGTAAGAATGTCCAATCAAAATTGTAGGATGGGGAAAAACGAAAGGGTTTGATTACTTAGGTAACTGGAATTAAGAATCCTATGACATGAAATGAGTTATTAAACACATTGGGTTTTGCTTTTTGTGTATAATCATAGCAATCATAACTATGAACCAACATTTCTAAGTTTCAATCACTCCAATAACAATCTAACTCAAAAGTTTCACAATGGGATTCGAGAAATTTACCTGTCGAATTCTTCTTCCCTTGAGAAACCACTATCCGTCTCGACAAACTCAATTAACCCGAGCTCCGAAATGATGATTCCCAGTGAATTTTCCTGTCCAAATCTTTCGCTTTGAGGCTTTTACAGGATCATCGTTCGTCGGTTAAATTATGACCACCATTTGTCGCAATCATTTTCCTTCCATTTTTGGGGCATTCTCTCTAAAACATGAGGGGCCTTTTTCCCCCTTGATTATTCTATCAGTAATCATTAAATTTTAATTGTTCCTTAATACAAATAATTTCCATCCCTTTTTTTATTTACCTTATTTTAAAATATTTTATTATAATTATTGGAATAAAATTATAGATTTAATTTTAATTTACATTTACAATTACATTTAATCGTTGATGGTAGCATAATGAATTGTAATTTTTTCTTTCAATTAATTTTATAAAAAATTTTAAAAAAATATTATAATACATTTAAAAATGTACAAATAAGCATAAATTATTTAAAAATAAAACTCCAAAACTAGACATTAATATCTAATAAATTGATTGGTAAAATTTTAAAATATACATAGTCAATTTTAATTCTTATTTTAGAATATTTTTTTTAGGAATAAATATATATATATTTTTTTTGGCTTATAATATTTATAATATTTATCTATATAATTTTTAATTTTAAATTAAAAAAAATTGTAAATTGGTTTCAAAATCAGACAATCGAATCTCTTACATTAAATATATTAAATAAATAAGAAAATAATAATAATATGGGTAATGTAACAAACATATATATATATATATATATATAAGGCATCACTAGGAGTACGGCGGATATTGAGTGATAATTAGAATAGGACATAGACTAATTCATGTTTATCGATACTAATTAAAATTAATGAAAATTAAAATTAGAATGAGAGGGCGAGGCACGTGCAAGCTAGAAATAGCCACGTGAGTAGCACGATTAATTGGCAGTTGATGTGCCACATCACACGGTGAAGAAGGGAAAGGTTCTCCGAACCATGCAGAACGTCGGTCACTGTCCGGCGCTACTGACTAGGACATTTTACCACGTGTCAATTTCCTAATGGCCCATCTTAGACAACTACCCAACTTCCCATGTGAATTTGCTCTTCACGACCTCTGTCAATTAATTAATCCGTTTATAAATTATTATAGGTTGAAAAGTTATGATTTAGTTGAATGAGACATTTTTTAGATTAAATTTAATTAATTGAGATATAATTTTTTTTTTCAATTCAAATAATTTTGTTGAATAGTTAACTCAACACAAATTAATTCAAATATGTTATTAAATATGTTATTTATTTAATTTTTATGTTATTAAAACGTTGATATTTCAATTTGTGTTTTCAAAATTACATTTAAAAATTTAAGAGCAGCAAAAAATAATTTTAGGATTAAACTAACTATTTAAAATATTATTTATTTAAATTCAATCCAATTAGTTCTCATTTTGATACAAAATACTGTTGTATATGTATATATACTTCAACAATTTATGACGTCTAGAACTGAACTCATATTCAGTTCTTACCATCTATAAGAAAAAAAAAATCAAATGAATCTTGGTAAGCTTTTCGAGAAATTCTTTCAACTTCTTTTCCGAAATTTTATTATTATTATTATTATTATTATTATTATTATTATTATTATTATTATTATTGTGACTATATTCCAAAGGGTGGTCGACAGGTAAAGTCGTTAGCTGTTAGGAAACTAGGGAGGTAAAAGCGAATTCGGTCTCCTCTTTGCTGGACAGCTGTGTCGTGTAACGTAAAATTACAAAGACTCCCACTTTTTGGAAGGACACAAAAAAATGTCAAAATCTCTCTCTCTCTCTCTAGAATATCACATTAACATAAAATAAAATACCAATATCCATTTAGTCCCTCTAAATTTAAAACTATATAATTGGCCCTCCAACATTTTTCAATTTTACATGTGCTAAGCTTTCAATTTTTCTACTAATATATATATATCAAATAACAAATTCAAACTGTTATCTAAAAAATAAATTAATTTAACTTTATTTTTACGTCAAAAACTTATTAGTCACAACATTAAATATCAAATATCGAGAGATTTATAACACATTTTTAAACTTTAGGAACAAGTAATCAAAGTTCATCAACTACACTTAAAATTTAACCAAATTTTATATTTAGTAATAATTTTTAATACTAATATATATCAATTATTGTCAAGTTCTTTAGATGAAAGTACACGTCAGCTAATTTAGGAAATGATAATGGGATTATAATCAAATAATTCTATCTCGATGGATACGAGGCATTTTGGAGAAATCCAAAGTAAAGCCACGGGAGTTTATGTTGAGTTTTGAAATGGGTGAGAAAAGAAGATGGGCTTTCATGGGCCCATTTATATAACAAGAAAACCCCCTTTTACAAGTAAAAGTGTTACAGTAGAGAGAGAGAGCCGCCGGAGGGAAATAAAGTTTGAAAGGGAGGCAATTTGGGAGGATAATGGGCCACGGAGCCTAAGCGTAGAAAGGTAGGCATTTTGTATTTGTATTGTAGTGAGAGAGAGAGAGAGAGAGAGAGAGAGAGAGGGATCCATATAAGGAAACTCTAACCCCGTCTTTACTGCCTGTTCTTGACCTGCATGTGAGAGAATGAGAAAGATAGGGAATTCCCTTTCTTTCTTTCTTTCCATTTTGAAGGGGTTTGTAATGGAATTCAATACGCCCTCCCTCTGAGGCGTACAATTTGGAATTTCCATTTCTTTCTATACATCACCCTCTCCTTCTTTTTTCTCTCTCTTTTTCTTTCTTGATGCGACTACAACCATTCTCTGCAACTTTGTGAAGGGGAAAAAGAACAAGAAAAATAACCCATTTCTCACACACTCTGTTTCTCTCTCTCTCTCTACCTTGAGCTTATATCATTCTCATGCTCCATTCTTCTCTCCATATTGAGCAAGCAGGAGAAACCATGGAGGACGTGGGCTGTTTATGGAGATTTCAGGAGGTGGGTTTCTCTCTTTCTCTCTTGTTCATCTTCCAAGACTTGCTTCACTTCATTTCTTCTTCTGGGTCTTCCCAATTTTGGGGGTTTTTGAATTAGGAAGGCTTATCCTTGCATAGATTGTTTGTTTGTTTGTTTGTTTGTTTGTTCTTCCCCTTTTCCTCACTCTGTTTTCTGCTTTTCTCAAGTTCAAAATGATCTCTTATGTTCACTGAAGTTGGATTCTGTAATGATTTTCCTATATCACAAGGCACTTACAAGCTAGATCTTTTTGTTTTCTTTGTTCCTTGGTGGGGGAAGTGGACACAACTGCTATACTTGTCTTGTTCCTAGTAGCTGCAGCAGGGGTAGGGAGTAACAGTGTTTGTGCTGTTCATGATTTTTTTTTTTTTTTTTTTTTTTTTTTTTTTTTTTTTTTTTTTTTTTTTTTTTT